CTTGAAATATGAACAATTTAGTAAATTTTATATACAATTATTCATTTATAGAGATTAAGTTAATGACTACCAAGTTATATTCGATATTCGATAGAAATCGGAACATGTCGAGTCATGTTATTAATTTATAAAACAAATAAAGTATACTATTAATTACATGTTCCGATTTTTGCTTAAATAACTTTTGAAAAATTGATTTCAGAAAAAAATTTATTAGTAACAAATTGTAGAAAATTTAATTATTAATAACATTGCTTTCTTTAACAATCTTGATAAAGTTGATAGTTTTTAAGATAAATGATAAATAATGATTCAAGACACAGAGAGGCCGATGCAACGCATGAGTCAGAGAGAGACAGCGATACTTAAAGGTAAGCGACGCATACTTGTAAGCGCGCGAAATTAACAATTAAAAAACAGATATAAACAATGAAATTTTTTTAAATCTCTATTAACAATATTATTAACTATTGTATAGAGAATTTAAAAAAAAATTTTACTTATACATTATTTTTTTTTTTTAATATATTTTTCATGGGTCGAAAGTACCCAAATTTGAGATTTTTCGAACCTTTAAAAATTCATATCTTTGAAAATATTAACTTTATCGAAAAAAGTTATAGGACCTTTTTTATTGGTATTTCAACAAAGAATATAAAAAAAATTTGTCCAGTTGAAAAATAACAATTCCTTGCAATTGTTTAAACAATTTTGGTTTAAACAATATGGCACTGGGTTGCCCCATGGCAACATGCATTTATATCATCAGTAGGGCAATTTGAAGAGGATTGCATAAAAAAATTGAGGTGGAATAGTTTTCGGTACTCATGCGCCGATTCCTCCTGGACTACATAAACAAACACCATAAACAAACACTCTATACGGAATAGTGCGTAATATATAGTCCAGTATTTGTTATGTCTATACTGCTGTCCTTTATGTGAGTGAGACATAGTGGTTATATGACAAAGAAACGAACAGACTTAAAAGACGTACTCGACTGTGGTGTGTTCAAGCCATTTAGCCGAAATAACTTTGACACAACTCAAGTACCTAAGATCATAAAATCAAGCCTATACAGGCTTTCTTATTCTAGCTGCACAAATGTGCTTTAAATGTGTTTTTCACATTTAAAAACTAATAAAATAAAATATCTTATTTTTCTAAAGTAAATATTTTTAAGAACAAAATATCTAGAATATAAAATTAAAAGTTTGTAACTGAGATTTATTTTTGCTCAGAGAATCCAAAAGACGCCCACCAACTTTGATCCCATTTTTTTCAGAAAAAAATTTGTTCAGAAAAAATTAATATTGTTTTTTTTTAATATAGAGGATTTGAATGAATTTTGAATATTTGCAGATTTTATTGAATCGCTCAAAAAAGTCGGGATCCTAAAAAATTTTATTTAATTTAAATAGTTCAATGAAGATTAAGCAAATCGAAATTATTGATCATGAAAAAAGAAATCGAAATTGCATTTATGAAATATTTTAGCATGAGTTAATTTAAGTTTTCAGATAATTCCTTGTTATGAAAAGAATTTTCAATGTCTCAATTGTAATTAATAAATAAATTTTTGGTACATTTTTTTTTAATTTCACTTCTCGGTAATAAAATTACAAAAAACATTTGTTAATATGAAAATTTTTCTATAAAATCTCAGCAAATAGTTTCGTAAAATTGCTATGCTCATTGAAAAAATAAAAATTTTCGATAAAATTACAATTCACAAAGTAACTGTACAACCGAAAATTGAATAATACAAAAAAAAGTATTAAAATTCTAAAGTCATCATTGTAATTCATATTACAACTTTGTTTCGTGAATACAAAAAAATTCTGGTAAATAAAATTATAAAAAATGTTTGCAAATATAAGACGTTTTTAAAGTAATTCAGCAAATAGTCTTGTAAAATTACCACACACATTAAAAAAATAATAATTGTTGGCGAAATTACAATTCATAATATAATTTTACAATCGAAATTTAAATATTACAAAGAAAATTATTAAATTTTCAATGACCACATTGTAATTTCTATTACAACTTTGTTTTGTGATTTTACAAAAATTTCTAGTAAACCAAATTACAAACAATGTTTGTAAATTTAAAATTTTTTTCATGAAATTTGAAAAACAGTTCCGTAAAATTACAATACAAATAGTATTTTCACATCAAGATCGTAAAATTACAACACATCCTACCAAGTTTCCTGACATCTTTCGGAAAATTACTAGAATTGTTTCATAATTTCGCAGTAGTAAACATCGATTTGTAATTTTACTCAACCTTTGTCTTGTAAAATGATTGTAATTTTACAAACATTTTTAACAGTGTACGTATTTAGAGATTTTAACAATTAGGATTTTTTTTTTTTTTTTAATTTCACATAACAAGTAAATTTTAGTAATTAAAAAAAAAATGCGTTAATATTTCTTTTAATTTTTACATTTGTTTACAAATTTTTTCTATACACATTCGCATTGCGATATCGGCAAAATAGATTTTACCTCCCGAGTTAAAATTTAACAAAAGTAAATGTAACTTTTTCAATTGATTGAAAGAATAAATTTGTTTTTTTCCATTTTAGTATCCTTTTTTTTACATTCAATACGTTGAATTTACGATTTAAATTTTGACTCGGTTCAAAAAAAAAAAAATTATTAGATCAAGAAAAAAATTTTTGAACCAAGAAAATAATTTTGAAGAGTTTTATTGTCTTGAATCAGAACTAAGAATTTTTGAATCAAGTAAAATTTAATTAAGCCAAAAATAATTTAGTAGTTTAGGAATTTTTCTACTCAAATCAAAACGATCAAGAATTCTATTCTTGATTCAAGTTATTTTTTATTCTGTGTAGTGATTTCATTTCTTCACTCTAATCCTCCGAGTAATGGAACTGAAAATTATCTCCCGATATTTTACAGAATGTCGTTGACTATTTGATACAATATCACATTATAGATTATCACTTTACAGACATTGGAGTATTGACAACAATACGTACAGCAATGTATTACCAAAAGTTTGAGTCAATATTATTCGCAAGCATACTCTCCATTGTAACTTGCATCATATTCTTAGTGGCGTCAGAATTATCAGAAACAGGTCTGGTCATGCCAGGACAATTCCCATTTGACGAAACCGCACCGTGGATATTCCAAATAATATTTTTCATGCAATTTTGGACGATTTTCCTGGGCTGTATATGGGTCGGGCTATTCGATCTTTTGTTACTGGGATTGATACGGTGGATAAACGTTCAAACATCTATTTTACAGAGCAATTACAAAAACTGCGAACCTACAGAAGCTAAACGAGATAACTTTATCGTGTCTAAAGAGACTTTTAATCGAATTGAGACCTATGATTACTTTAAGGTAACGGAAGCCCAGTACAAAATAAAGGTATTCATCCCCTTTGAAATTGACGAACTAAACGTTGATAATGATTCATTTGCATTGAGGCTAAAAAGTTGTATCAAGAATCAGAAAAGAATTGTGAACTGCATTAATAACTTCAACGATACATTTAGTTTGACATTATGTATTCAAATAATAACTAGCAATGCTGTTACATGTTTTTATCTCTATCAAGCTGCTTGGGTATTGATACCACTATGCTATTTTTATTATTTTTAGCTTAATAATAATTTCACTGATGGCATTAATTCCCAAATTAAAATGTTTCAGGCCATAAAACACAACAAAAGTATTATTAAATGCTGTATAATGTTTTTTTCAGTTACTACTGAATTATTTTACTACTGTATTTACGGGACTCTATTAGGTATACAGGTATGGTTCGACTATTTTTAAAATCATGCTACTAATTTTAACTTCTTCTAAGTGTATTGTACAAAACATCAATAGAAGTTAATTCAAAAAAGCATAGAAGGCATCTCATGAAAAATCAGACCTTTTAAAAAAATTTTATTTCCTCTATTATTTAGTATATCCATAAAAAAGCCCTTTGAAAAATTTTTTTGATTATGCGTTCAAAATAAAATGTCTCATGCGCAGAAAATTTCGAAAAACAACAATAATTATTCCACAGTAACTTCAAAAACATTAGATTAAATTAATGATTTTAGGGAGATGCACTACGGGAAAGCCAGTATAATTCATCGTGGAATAACTATCTAAATCGTGAGGTATCCAATCTTTTGATAAATGCAATGATAATGTCTATAAGACCAATTGAGATGAAGGCTGGATATTTTTTCACCTTTTCAGTCCAAACTTTTATTTCCGTAATTATTTTGTATACAATTATTAATCGCTTTACGTTAAAGTGTTACATTCTCAGAAATAATGAATACTTAAGTAAAGAAATTTTTTTTTGGATCTAGAAAATTTTTTGGAGTTTTAATTAGAAACTGAAATTTTCTCAGGTCGAAAAAATAATTTTGGTATGGATTAACTTAATGTTATCCATACATCCTTGTTTCGTTGCAATTGAAGTATTTTTCTGTTTTTTAGGAACTATAGTTCCAGAAAAATACTTCAGGGAAGAAATTTACATTTAATGGAAAAAGTCTTAAACAAAATAAAATTTGTTTGATGCCGTAAGATGGACGGCGAAGTTCATAAGATGGTTAATGAACACAGTATATTAAATTAAAATGTAAAAATTACATTCTTCAATGTAATTCTTATAAAATCTGTAATAATTACAATCTGAAACTGTAATTTTTCCAGTTTTCTATACGGAGCACCACGTTTACATTGTATAATGTAATTTTTCCATTTTTCTTTTTTCCGTGTAGTAAAAATTTATTCCTCGATATTTTTTTACTGTTTTTCAATTTTGCTGCTTTATGAAAATTTATTCCTTTGTAACGCTAAAATTTTACTCAGTTAATCTTTTAATTAATAAAGTAACATTGATAAACTTTTAACCTATTGTTATTCAGGTTCTACAAAGGGCATATTCTTTCTTCGCGATTCTCAATACGATGATGAATTAAATGGATACTACAAGGTATAAAAAAAGTCATGTGATCTGAGAAATTTTTACTTTTACTGCCCTAGATATACAATATACTATTTCTTTTAAATAAATTAGATAAAACTCTTACAAAAACATTTAAGTAACTTTAAAATATTTTCAGGCTGCGGGTAGAGCACGATTTTGAATACTGCCAAATGTCTGTAAAAAATCAAATGATCTCGATAGGGTTCGCGGCATTCAACGTAGTTTTTTAAGTTATAAAAATATTGTATTGAGTACAAAGATGATTAGTTAAGAAATTTTGAAATTATATTGAATGAACATCATTTCAAAAACTTTTGTTTTTTGGAATTGCACCGAATTAGTTAAAATTCTTAAAAAATCTAAGAACAATAGAACTCTTTGGAACACACACACACACACAGCCAAAAATTGATAAAAATTTAATTATTTTTCATTTATCTTTACTTGATAGCTTTTCACAAAATGATTCTCTCAGACGATTAAATTATTTGGCTTGTCATTATTATCATTATTATTATGATTATTGAATTATTTTACAGATTATTAAACTATTTTGAAGATCTCATACTCTTTTTTTGCACTACTATCATCTAAAACTCAGCAAAATTTACCGCAGATTGAATAGAAGATATTTTAAAAAATAGTGATATCATTGTTTATTTTAAATAGAATATATTATAGGGGAAAAAAAAAATATTTCATTTGTTGAACATCGAAATAATAAATTTATTTTGCAATCGTAATATTTTTAGCCGAGCATCGTCTCTTATATTATTTTTTCTAACTCTCTGTCACTAGCTTACAATTCTTGTTATGCTTGAATTTTAATGAGGAAATAATTGAATTTTTAATTGTTAGAAAATTTGAATAAAAATAATAATAAAAAATTTTTATTTCGCTGAAATTTTTTTATCATAAATGCGTACTTAGAGAGATCTTAAAAACTGATATAATTTCTTTGATTTTCTGCCAGAATATAATTTTCAAAAGATTTTCATTTTTTTATACTGATGAAAAAACTTTTTTTTAATTTTGAATTTTTCTTAAATTTTTAAATTTTTTATACAGTTTTTTCAAAATTGATAATAAGTACTGACAAACAAATTATTTTGTTGTGTTTGAAATTTACAATTTTACATTGTAACTGTTGACATTGGCTTCATTAATATCTAAAATTCTTACTATAGAAATTGAGTTATCTTTCTTGATATTTTTCCATATCATACTTAAATTTTTTACGTTTATAGTGATCAAAATTCAACTTGGAACTATTAATATTATTGCACTCAAACTTTTTGGACATGTATATAGCTTTTATAACTCTCTCAACTGCTATTTTTTTCTATATAATTATTAAAATATAACTTTTGAATAATGAATATAAATTAAATGTAGAAATCACAATTTTACTGTTTGAAATAGTATTTATTACCAATTAATTACCTTTTATTACAAATCCATTATAATTTATTGCATTCAAGTTTTTTCCATGTATGAACTATGATTTAATATTTAATAAGTAACTGTTTAAAAAAAAAAATAATCGTATAAATTACTGTAAAACTCAAGCAATGATGTTTACGCTTTGAATATCAACCATTGACTGACTACGGAAGTCAAAACGTATCCCCTTTAGTTTTTTATAGCACGCAAACGCAAAGTTTCTATAGAAAATTATCACCTGCTCAAAATAATTTAAAGCAATCATCATCGTCATTAATATTATAGTAGACTATAACGTCGATAAAAAGGAGCTTTGGTGATTCTTAAAACAAAAGTTGCTTCTGAAAATGTTCCATAAGGTAAATACTTTGTAGAGCTTGCGTGTCATTATTTCGATTGACTTTACTCTGTAGTAGATAAAAATAACCGGAATCGAAACTAAGGGATATTTTCAAGGAAGTAGCCGGAATGAAAATAACTTTTATTGAAGTACAGAAACTACTGCTTAAGCTGAGCATTATTTTCTTGAGGTGCATTGCAATAATTATCGTATCAATAATTCTGAATTTTTTTTTATTCAATTTTATTAAATGTGGTAATGATAGTTAATAATTTCTAGATGCTGTGAAATATTGAACCATAGTTTTACTGCTCTGAATTATTCGATTTGAAAGTTCGATCGGACAATGGTAGTAGCGATTTGATGGTAGTGAGTGAAGCAGTTTGGTTATTGGCCGACTGGGTTGAAACTCTTATAAAATTCCATTACTTCGATGAAAGACGACACAACGTTAATATCGTTTATAATTAATCGAAAGTGATAAAAAGGTCTTGTGGTACGATCAATTATTTAGCGATACTGACTAGTCTCCAAAGCCAAAAATGTGTATGTCTAACATCTCTGAAAACATTCAAAATATTGATATCTTTTTTTATACAGATTTTTGCCAAAAATTTATATGAAAAATTTTTTATCTACATCATGTATAGAAATCAAATTTATTTTTATATGTATGGGATATGTCAAAGGATCACGTATTTTGATTTTAAAAGTTTTAAGTTTCAATTGAAAAATTAATTATTAACTATAAATTTTTTCGGAAGAGCTAAAGATGTTCTGAAGAAAAAACAAATTTTGTTGACTCAATAAAATTTCATTCCAGCCCAAGAAATTTTTCTAAATATTGTCTCAAGTTAAGAAATTTAGTTCTCTTAGAGAGAATTTTTTTTTCATTGTATAATAATTTTTCATATTTAATTTTAAAAAAATATATAAAATAACAAAAAGACATATGTGCAAGGACATCAATCTTCAATATGTTTTTATACATGTTAATCATACGTATTTTTTTTTTTTGTAGGGAGTGTAACTAATAAATAATGAATGAACAATGATATCCTTTTGTTACAGAAATTTTTAAGTTTTTTAACCAAGAATTTGTAGCTAATTTCAAAAAATCATTGACATTTTTGATGTTCGACCTCTGGCTATTAATTTTTCTCTCAACAACGGCATTAATGAAATGAGTACAAACGTTATAAATAAAAAATTAAGCGGTAATGTTATAGACTTGAATTTATTCAACGCACAAATTCAGTAACATCGGATTCATTAGTGATTTATTGCCGTAATAGCAAATCATATACTCATAGCTCATAACACAAATTAATCAACAAGTATTCTGTTTTTATGGTTACTTGAGTAATGATTTTATATATATATATATATATATATATATATATATATATATATATATATATATATATAAACTCAAAAATTTTGCACCATAGTATATTACAAAAAAATTTTTCCATTTAAACAGAATTCTTAGAAGAAACATCATTATCTTAAATAATTAAAAAATGATACATAAGAATAAATAATTGCAATTATTTAGCACAAACGATGAAAATAAGTAGCGTTTTTTACTAGCGTGGTTTTATACAGTTTGATTCGAAGCGTGAATGATAATTCGTCACAAAATATAGAGAGACAAAATATATTCGTATAGTTAATTATCAGTCATGATCAAGATAATTAACAATACTTCAGTCGAGAGCCATCGACGATTTCTCGACAAAAGTATTGCAATTCTAAGGTAATTAACGCAAGGAAAAAAATGATACTTTTGCTTTTATAATTTGTATTTATTAATTTTTTAATATTTAAGATTCTCGGGAGTATTAAGCTACGATACATCCACGACAGGGCATCTAAGAATTTTCACCATTTTCATGAGAGTTTTCAGTAACATTATTGTAATTTCTTACGTATTGACCATGTTTGCCGATGCTGTAGTTAATTGCAACGATTTGATGATATTCGCCTCTGACGGGTGCTTCATTGCGGGATGGTTCGTAGCGTATTCGAAAGAGGCAGCTTTTTACCGAAAAAGGCACCGATTTTTTGAGTTTATTGATAATACTCATCGCCCTGTAGATGTTCTGCGGCAATCAACAGGTTAATTCAAATAATTTTACATTTTTTAAAAGTTAAATTCTTGAATGTGAAAAATTTTGGGAGTATATTTGCGGAGTGGATGATTTTTAATCGTTTTAATCCCTTCGGAAGAATACTCAATACAAAAAGAATTTTTATTATATTAATAATATAAACAAAACTCCGTGGATTGTATTTTTTATTTTTATAATGAATAAAAATAAAATAATAGTTGTTATCCGTTTAAAAATTACGAGATGCATACTTAGAGATTAAAAATAAAAATCAATTTTTTATTAGTATGATATAACAAATAAAATTTAATATTTAAAAATAATTGCATCAATATTTTTTTTAAATTCTTTCTGTAATAATTTATTTGTAAATAAATCCTAAAAATTGCTATATAGTAGTTAATTTCAGTAACATTAAAGTAATTTATCTTATTTAATTAAATCTAGTAATATACGTTAAAAATTTATTATTTTTTACGATTTACGTTCAAATTTATCAACAAGATAAAAACAAAATCATCTTTATCAAAATTTAGTTAAATGTTTACAAACTTAAACTTGATACAAATAGTTCGAATAATTTTTCAGTAATTTGGCTTATAAAACTTCTTTCAGATAAATAAAAATTTATTTTAATCTAAAAACTTTGTACTTAAATGTTTTACTCCGTACTTGAATTAATTTTTTAATTTTTTCACTCCGTGAAAATTCCGATTTTTTACAGCATATCAATTTTATCATAAAATTTTTTACAGACTTAGGCCTGCTACTGGATGTAAAAGAGTGTATGTTATACGAAGCTATCGATTACTATTTAGTGTCATTATTCGTGATAGTCCTTGGATCGGCAATAATAATTTCATCGCTTATCTTGGGAAAACTACCAAACAGAGCAATATTTCCTTTCGATACAACTATTCCCGTCTACTACCGACTGGCGTTTTTTATACAAGCATACAATACGGTTTATCATCTAATTGTTTTGGTAACAATCGATTTCATAAGCTGGCAACTGATGCGGTACACTACACTACAATTAAGAGTCCTGTCGTTCAACTACATAAATTGTAAGGGCGATTCACTGATACCTGTTGCTCCCGACTTGACCCGAGAATATATTGGTGCTCTCAAAATCTCTAGTGTGTTCAGCATAGATGACCAACACAAGGAAATTCGTCAATTTACAGCATTTGAAGAGAGAGAAATGACCAATATTAGCGTTAACTTCACTGAGAGATTTAAAACTTGCGTTAAACATCACCTGAGACTCATCAGAGTTGTCAAAGACTTCAACGATACTTTTAGTTTCTCGCTGATGGTCCAACTGGGTGGAAGCTTACTAGTCATTTGCTTGAACGGTTACATGGTGGTAACGGTAAATAATTAAATGATTAAACGAGCTTACCTGTAAGTGATGTTCAATCATAATTGTATGAAGCGCCTCTTCCAAAGAGATCAAATCGTAGTACCTCTACTATATGCCTTTGTCACCACACTTTTTTAAAGTATAAATAAAAAAGTTGTGTCTGCGCATGACCAGCGCCGCCATGATACCTCATTCTTTCAAAGTTGGGCCGTAACAATAATTAAAGGGGTTTTTTTATTCATTTAAGGAGTAAAAAATAAGGGAAATATTTATTGGGAGGGAGTTGATCTCTTCGGAAGAGGCGCTTCATACAATTATGATTGAACATCACTTACAGGTAAGCTCGTTTAATCATTTAATTATTTACCGTTACCACCATGTAACCGTTCAAGCAAATGACTAGTAAGCTTCCACCCAGTTGGACCATCAGCGAGAAACTAAAAGTATCGTTGAAGTCTTTGACAACTCTGATGAGTCTCAGGTGATGTTTAACGCAAGTTTTAAATCTCTCAGTGAAGTTAACGCTAATATTGGTCATTTCTCTCTCTTCAAATGCTGTAAATTGACGAATTTCCTTGTGTTGGTCATCTATGCTGAACACACTAGAGATTTTGAGAGCACCAATATATTCTCGGGTCAAGTCGGGAGCAACAGGTATCAGTGAATCGCCCTTACAATTTATGTAGTTGAACGACACACTTTTTTAAAGTATAAATAAAAAAGTTGTGTCTGCGCATGACCAGCGCCGCCATGATACCTCATTCTTTCAAAGTTGGGCCGTAACAATAATTAAAGGGGTTTTTTTATTCATTTAAGGAGTAAAAAATAAGGGAAATATTTATTGGGAGGGAGTTGATCTCTTCGGAAGAGGCGCTTCATACAATTATGATTGAACATCACTTACAGGTAAGCTCGTTTAATCATTTAATTGTATTACGCGCCTCTTCCTCGAGATTAAATCGTAGCTGTTTAAAGTTGTTACGGCTATTCATTTATTAATACATAGATATGTTATTACCAGTAATTAATTATTTATTAGATTCTTATATCTAGTGAGCAAAGTTAGTTATTTAGAATACTTAACGCAAAGACATTTTTGTCTTCAATCAAATTTCTTTTATAGAACCTAGCAAAAGTTTGTGACTTTGCTGACCAGCCAGCAGTTTTTAAAATGCAGTCGATGGAGACACCATTTCGGCTCGCTGCTGAAGTAGATGCGTGTCGAGTACTGTATGCAGTGAAAATCGCAGTATCTACTCCACTTTCGGACAGTACTTCCTTAATCCATCTGCTCAATGTCTGCGGTGTCACGGCCTTGTACGATTTTCAGAAAGAGATGAGCAGTCTGTTTTCTTCCTTTCTTAATGGCTTGGTTTCTTTTAGATATAGATTCAACGAGGTAGCTGGACAAATCAAAGCATTGTCTGGATAAAAAGGAATTGATAGCACGGGTTGATTTCTGTTGAGCTTCGATGTCTTAATGTTTTCGGGAATCTTTATCTCGATAGCTTTGTCTCCGACACTGATGTTTTTTACATCTATTAGCGACAGTGTTTGCATTCGATGACCTGTCACCAACGCTAATAATGAAACTACTTTCAGCGATAGTTTCTCCAGGTTCAGCTTGTCATTAGGATCCCATTTTTTTAACAAGTCCAAAACTAATCCTGGATCCCAAGTACAGTCGTACTTCGGTCTGGGTGGCCTCAATTTTGAGACTTCTTTGAAGAACCTCTTGATTTCTGGATTTTCTCCAAAATTTGGGCCATAAATGAGTGCTATCGCCGACCGAAAGCTGTTCAGAGTTCCATGAGTCGCGCCTTGGTTATATTGCGATGTCAAAAATACTAGTACGTTAGGTATTGTGCAAGAAAGTGGGTTTATTTCGTTGATTTTGCAGAAACTCCACCACTTTTTCAATCCAGTGTCGTACTGTTTTAAAGATCCTCCACTCAAAGATGCTAACATGACTTCTATGGAATCTTCTGGTACCTCTTTTAATGCATAGGCTCTCCTGATATAATCCCTGATACCAAGGTAATCGTCCGCCAAACTGGATGGGGTTCCCTGTTAAAAGTAAATAATAAATTAATATTGGGTTTAAATTCAAGGGGTTCTGAATCAAGCATTGATCGAAATACAGGAAACCAGGCTTGAGCGGGCCAGTGGGGTACCACAAAAATCCCTCGGGCTTTTTCTATACGGATTTTTTCTAGTACCCGTAGAATAGTGGAAAAAGGTGGAAAGGCGTAAAAGAATTTCTTCTTCCAGCTAATGGTAAACGCATCAATAGCGATTGACCCAGGGTCTTTTTTCCATGACACGTAAGTCGTACACTTGGCATTAGCTCGAGTGGCAAAAAGATCAATTTCCGGCTTTCCAAATTTGTCCACGATCGCCTTGAATGCAAAATCAGCCAGGCTGTACTCCGTCTCTGGTCCTAGTCTTCTAGATTCAAAGTCAGCAATGGCGTTATCTGCTGAGCGAATATAGGACGCGAAGATCCACAGCCCTCTTCGTTCACACCACAACCAAATCTCCTTAGATAATTTACTTAGTCGTGGGATTCTTATACCACCCTTCTTATTAATGTAAGCTATTGCAGTGGTATTATCTACTCTTAACAAGATATCACAAGATCTTAAATTTTTACCAAAACATTTTAACCCAAAAAATACCGCCGTTAGTTCAAGGACGTTTATATGAAGGGAGCGCTCTGTTTCTTTCCAATGACCGTGAACACGATTGCCATTGCAGACTGCTCCCCATCCCGAAGTTGAAGCGTCCGAGAAAATTTCTATTACTGGATTAAAGACCTTGATAGAATTTTTAGCTATTGGAACATTTTTCTTCCACCACTCAAAATCATCTCTTAAGCTTGGTGAAATAGACATGTATCGGTCATAATTGTCATTACTATTTCGCAGAGCAAGGAACCTGGCTCTCTCAAAATCACGCATGTGAACTCTCCCATATTTTAGTGTCGGACTGCAAGACTCTAGAGTGCCAATGAAGGCAGCAAACTCTCTTATCTTGTATTTTTTTGTCCGCTCAAACTTTCGAACCAACTCAGTTACTCGGTTTGTCTTTTCTAATAGAAGTTCGACAATCATTTTTTTTGAATCATAAACAAGTCCTAAAAATTTACATCTCTTGGATGGAATTAACTGACTTTTAGTAAAGTTTATTACAAAACCCAGCCTTTGTAATAGTCTCAAAGTGGTCTCTGCATTTTGAGAACATGCCCCCAATGACGGTTCTAATATCAGAATGTCATCCAAGTAGATGACCAGCAAAATTTTTGATAATCTTAAGAATGATACGACGGGCTTCATAATTTTAGTAAAAATTTATGGAGCAATATTTAATCCGAAGGGCAGGCAGGTAAATTCATAAATTTTTCCAAGAAATTTAAACCTCAAAAATTGTCTATCTGACCTAGCCACTGAAATTAAATAATAAGCATCTTTCAAATCAATATTAATCATAAAGCAGTTTAAAGTTAGCAACTTCCTAACTACTTTGCTGTCTTCTAATTTGAAATGCTCTGTATCAATGAATTCATTAAGATTTTTTAAATTTAAGATCAACCTATAACCTCTATCTGGCTTACTAACAAGAAAGATATTAGATAAGAATTGTCCAGTGATAAATTCAACCTCTGAGATAGCTTCTTTTGACAACAACTCGTCTAGCTGCTGTCTTATAGCTACTTTCTCAACCTCAGACCAGTGAGGTTCAGATGGAGGGTGAAATTGGAACACTTTCCTAGCAAAAGGAATTTTAAACCCACGGACCCAGCTCAAAATGGTTTTGTCGGAAGTAATTTCGGACAAAGCTCTGTAAAAAAACTTTAACCGTCCTGCAGGACAACTTACATTAAACTCTGAAGTTATTTCTTCAATTGCGGGTAATTCTTCTTCGGTTGCTTGTGGCTCCGGTACGATCTCTGAACTGGTGTTGGTTTTTGCCCGCTCGTCATCGAGTTGTACTGTGACCTCTGTGATGTGCGACGAGTCGGGCCCTTCAAGTCGGGCCCCCTTTTGGGCTCTTGGGTAGAGCTTGTTTGAGCCATTGATTTAATTTTCTTTGACGTTGACTCTAAAAGCTTAGCTGCTTTAAATTTTTCCTCCAGACTTTTGCCAAACAGCAATCGCCCGCCACTGTAGACTTAAGTATGTCACGCTTTGAAGGATCAATGTTTTTCAAGATCAAACTTCTTCTAATTTCAGACTCCTCATGTTGAAGATCTGCTAAGATTCTGGAAACACCACCTAGTATTTCTAACATTGCTAACTTCTGATCCTGTGGAAGTTGCAAGCTCATAGACATTAACTTAGTTAATCCAGAAAGACCTGCTGAAACTCGAGCTTGTTTTTCAACAATTCGATCATCTCTTTTGACGATATTCTCTGCCAGGTTGGTCTTTATTTCAAAGTTGAGTTTAGGTGGGTCCATGAATAAACCATTCTTTGGAGGAGGAAATTTTTTTAGTAAAGTTTTTCTCTCTGCCACTGGAAGACCTTTGTTGATGATCTCCTCGACTCTTATGGCAAGATCCTTGTGGATAGCTGGCAGTAACACCCTATCTGGTTCTAACAGGTCTCCGATCGCCTTTAAAACCACTTGATCTAAAGGTTGTTCTCCAGACATTTCCTCCGTGCTCGGTACGGTAGCATCTTTTGACTGAGCTAGCGTAGATTGCTCCGTGATCGTAACAGTAGCATCTGTTGACTGAGTTAGCGTAGATTGCTCCGTGACCGTAACAGTAGTGTCTGTTGACTGAGCTTGCGGAAGTTGCCCAGAATCATTATCCTTTGCAGGGATGACACTTTTATCTGTGGTTAGTGTTTTACCGATGCCAACATCTTCTTGAGTTGTATCTTTCGGGTCCTCTGTCACGTAATGGTCGTTAAATTCATCTTCTCTTCTGTCACAGCTATAAGACCGACTTCCATCGGAACTGTCATAAACCTCCGATCGAGAAGCATTATCATAGCGACCTGGCGTATCATGACGGTGATACCTACGTCGGTGTCTATAATCTCGATCATCTCTCCGAGAATGATGTTCTCGACGATCATAGTAATCACCTAACCAACAAGAAAAAATTTTTTAGCTTGGATTTTTTTTTTTTTTTTTTTTTTTTATATAACCTAGCAGAGGTTAGAATGTTGAATCAACAATTACATATTCTAACAATCCTTAAAAAGGGATTGTTTTTATTGTAATTGTAATGTTAATTATTTACTACATGAATATTTTTTATGACAACCCTTGCAAGGCCTTGTCAACAATACCATGTATAACCAAACTGCCACGCCGGTTGGACCGACGCGGTTGATAGGTAGCTGCATGGAAAATAGCACGACTCACTAATTGCAAATTAGTTGCCAAAATTTTCCATTACAGTAATTTGTAACTATTATACAATTTTAAAGTAATGTGTTAAATATTTCGTTATTTGATTATACTTACGATCATCAAAAAAATTTGTCATTAATTTTTCTAAGGGGTCTAATCTTTTTTTGATGTTCCTACCGCTTTTTTCGTCTGATGAATCATCTCGATGACGTTTTTTTGATTTTCCCATGATAAATAAACTTGTAATTTTTTATTTATTAATTTAAGTAATTACTGGATTAATTTTTTAACATGTGACGACTCCGGTACAAAGATGAAGAATGAGGTATCATGGCGGCGCTGGTCATGCGTAGACACAACTTTTTTGTTTATACTTTAAAAAAGTGTGGTGACAAAGGCATATAGTAGAGGTACTACGATTTGATCTCGAGGAAGAGGCGCGTAATACAATTATATAATTATCAAATTAAAATGTTTAGAAAATAATTAACTAATAACTAATAATTAAATAACAATTTTATTTGACGACTGCCAACAGTTTCCTGGTGACAGAGATAACTTCATTAGATCTACCGCTTATCTATTGTCAGGTTTCACCCAATTGCTGTATTGGTGTGCTTTTGGAAACCAGCTAAAATTTCAAGTTAGTATTTGTCGATATCTTTTAAACTAATCAGTTGGATACAGAGAATTTGAATGACCTGGTCCTATTTTAATAATTTATTCAAGGCCGATTTTCTGACGAAAAGCCAGTGGATGTCAGGTTGGGAAAATAGTTACGACAGAGGAATTAAAAATTTAGTTACTACAGCGATGATAAAAACCATGCAGCCATTAGAAATCCGCGCTGGTGGTCTCTTTGTTTTAACAATGGAGACCTTTCTTTCAGTAAGCTTTACAATTATTCATTATTTCTTAATATGTCATACTTAATTTGGATCTTTCTTTTCATTTTTTAGATTTTGAAAAGCTCATACTCTGTTTTTGTATTACTGACAACTGCGAACGATTAATCGTTATACCTATTGCTTGAAATTTATTCATCGACACATTTTGCGATAGAGTAATATTGTGTTAATAAATTAATAAATGATGTAATTAAAAAATTACCTCTTTTTTTGCCTGCACAAGCAATAATACATTGTTCAGTATCGATGTATCTGATTTTGCAAAGCCAAAAAAGCGTATTTATTAATGCACAATCTTTCAGCACTTATTACACAATACGTCTAGTCCTGGATTATGATGTGACGATTGCAATTTTGACGATAAATTTATTTCTAAAATTCATCTAAATTCTGATAATCTTTCAATCAATTATTAGGGAAAATATCTGAAATATAAAAAAATAACAATCAAGTCTGAAATAGAATTTATCATCAATTGATTACCATTTATAAAAAATCCATTATTATTTAATACAGTTAAGTTTTTTCCATGTATGAACTATGATTCAATATTTAATGAGTAACTGTTTGAGAAAAAAAATAATCCTATAAATTACTATAAAACTCAAGTAATGATGTTTACACTTTGAATATGCGTTCCAACCATTGACTGACTGCGAAAGCCAAAATCGTACCCCCTTTAGTTTTTCATAGCATGCAAACGCAAAGTTTAAATGATGAAAAATTACCACCTGCTCGAAACAATTTGAAGCAATCATCATCATCATTAATCGTATAATAAGCTATAACATCATTAAAAAAGAGCTTTAGTGATTCTTAAAACAAAAATTATTTCTTGAAATGTTCCATAAGGTTAAAATTACGTAGAGCTTGCGTGTCGTTATTTCGATCGGCTTTACTCTAAGTGGTAGATAAAAATAACCGGAATCGAAACAAAGGGATATTTCAATCTTCTATATGTTTTTATACACATTAAACATACAAATTTTTTTGTAGTGGGTGTAACTAATGAACAATGAATGAGCATTAATATCCTTTTGTTACAGAAATTTTTAAATTTTTAAACTAAGAATTTGTCGCTAATTTTAAAAGATCTTTGATATTCGGCCTCTGTCTATTAATTTTTCTCTCAACAACTGCACTAATAAAATGAGTATAAACCTTACAAATGAAAAATAAAGCGGTAATATAGTAGACTTGAATTTATCAAACATACAAATGATTATAATAAAAAGATAATATCAACCTAATTATAGTTGCACCTGTACTTGAAATTTAAGGATCTTATTTGTTGACTGTTAATAATTATTTGTCAACTCTCACTAAATTATTTTTAAATAATTTATTAACAATCAATAAAGCTTATTAAATATCAAAAAATCCTTCTATAAGTGTAGATGGTTATTATAGCCACGATTCCACTTCATGATTTTTACAATATAAATAATTGTATCTACATTGAATGTTTTTGTAAAGCAATAAAGTATTCTCAGCCACAATTTTAGTTAATATAGAAGAAAACGATGTTCACACTGCGTAAGGTGTTTGTACAATGAAACGAAGTTAAGTATAAAAAACGTTACACCCCCCAACTTACAATCGGCGCCGTGATGGTGAAGGCTATTTATTTTTAGTTAAAAAGTCTACCATTCTTTTTTAAATAACTCACGGTTGATTTTTATTCCTCTCAATAAAACTTATAAAAAGAGAGAAATATTATCAAAAACGATATCCGTCTCATGCATAATAAACGAATTCGAAAATTATATGTTATACAGAGGGGAATAAAAAGTGTAAGAGGTGTGAAACTAAACGGTTTTTAACAAAGCATCTATTTATAGTGATATATTATATTTACTTTTTCCCGCCCACCTGACTTTACTTTATTGTAAAAAGAAAATAAACTTAAACGTTAATATTGAATTTCATTTACTGAGAAATGATGGGTGCAAACGTTGAAATTCATCGGAGGGTTATAAATATTACTATTCCAATGTTGAGGTAAAGTATCATTTAATTTTTACTTTTCAATGGACGTGTCTCGACTCTTTTCTTTAAACCTTGAATAATTTTAAATGGAACTAAGTAAGATTTCAAGCTGTTTGTGATAACTAGTTTTAAAAATTATATTCATTTACAGATATTGTGCAGTTTGGCCATGCTCTGCATCAACATCTGCAGTCATAAAAATTATTAACGGCTTTTACATAATTTTTAATTTTGTGCTCCTCATTCTTTATTTGATAACTCTGGCTTTTGACTTGTACTACAATTCTACAGATATGAATGTCTATGGTAACGACGGATGCTACGTATTAGGCACAGTCATGATTATGTTTAAAGGATACAAGTTTCGAATGATGTATGAAAAACTTTCGACGCTCATCGATGATGTCTATGGTCCAATCGACACATTAATAAGGACTTCAGGTTAGTATAAATTATTATGAAGGAGTTATACGCACTTAGAATTTTCAGAAATTCAATTTTTTAATTTCAACCTATTGAAGTATATACACAGAAAATTCAACGTCAATCAGACAAGTATTTTCCAAGTTATACGCATGTTAGTAAAGGCGTCTCGAAACGTTAGAACTTAAATAGAGCTGAAATTTCATAAAAAAAAAAAGCAACTCTGAAAAACTTACAATTCTTTAGGAATATTTAAAAATATTCTATCAAAAGATTTGAGTTCAAAATTCAATATCGATAGCCGATTAAGACTATTTTTTATAAATCTTAAATTTTTCAAATTCTTGTTTTAAAATAAAGTTAAAATATAATGAAAAAAAAAAATTTATTTCAAATAAATTGGAAGGGGAAAGGAGTTAATTCTAATTATCCGTCGATTCAACAAAAAATGACTCATATGTATATCAATTTGTATATTAATTGATTGAAAAGCTTCTTCAGAAAGAAAGTTAAAAATAAATCTTTTCCGCTTTGTAAGTTTATAGAATGCCTCAATCCTGGCCACATTAATAATTTTTCTTGATTAACAGATCGAGGAATGGTAGCTACCATCAAACACAGTATATTTTTTGAATTCATCCATTTCTGTGCATTTTTGGGTGGATGCCTATCACTTTCGTTCACCATAATCGTATTAACACCTCGAGAAAAAGGGGAGCTCCCGATTAGAGGTGTATACCCTTTTAATTCCACCATAACGCCGTACAATGAAATGGCGCTGTTTTATCAATCTTACTGTGTAATCTACTGTCTCCTAATAATAGTAGCGCTGGACATAATGATAATAGCCTTCATTAGATGGGTGACGGTTCAAATGAAAGCATTAACCGCGAATTACAAAAATTGCAATTCTGAAACAGCGAAACGTGCGACTTTAATTTCAGCAGCAGAAACATTGAAAATGATTAATGGATTTCAGTCATGGAAGATAACTGATGATGATTTGGAAATACGGACATTTTTGTCTTTTGAGAAGAGCGAGGCTGAAAATAGTGATGATGGGTTTGTTTGGCGATTCAAAACATGTGTTAAACATCATCAGAGACTTTTGAAGGTTATGCTTAATCTTAATGCTACTCTCAGTCCGTTTATATTGGTACAATTTGGAATCAGTACGTTGATTATATGCGTGAGCGGTTTCCAATGGATTTCAGTGAGTGTTTTAAAGACAAATATATCGATGGAAAATTTATTTTGATTTAAGCAGAAAAATTTTAAACCAAGAAAATCATTTTAAGTAGTACAAAAAAAATTTTTTGAACCAGCCTAGACAAATGAAAATTGCTTTAAAAAGTTTGATAATTTTTTTATTGCTATTGCAACAATTTTTCTGCTCAAATCATGACGATCAAAATATTTAAACTAATTTTTTTGGTTCAAGTGTTTATTTTTCTTGAACCAAATTAATTATTCATCAGCGTCGAAATTACCGTTGTTCTAAAATATATTTCAGAATACAGGCAATCACGGGAATTTAATTAAGTATACAGTATTTTTAACAATATGCTTTGCTGAACTATTATTTTGGTGTTTTTATGGCGACGCTTTTAATTATACCGTAAATAATATGTTCGATAAAATTTTATAAAATACAGTTGCTTATTATCAACTGATGAACAACTTTTTTAAAAAAGGCGGACGCTATAACGCACAGCCAATGGATGTCTGGTTGGGAAGATGCATATAACAAAAAAAACGATTACAATATCAGCAACCTATTGACGATTCCGATGAATCAATCGATCAGACGCTTGGAAATAAAAGCTTTCGGAATGTTTTCTTTGTCCATGCCGACATTTCTTTCAGTAAGAGCTTTAATTTTTTAAGCTTCTAATTTCATTTTACAAGTAACATTATTCTGTTTTGCAGGTTGTCAAAAGCTCGTATTCTGTTTTAGTACTTATGACCACAGCTACTGAAGAAGAATAAATGTCTTCTTTATTTTTTTTTTTAATTTAAAAAAAGTTGCGGAAGAAAACATAAAAAATTATTTGATAATCTGATCAATATGCAATTGATCAAAAAATTTTAAGTCCAGTTTAGCACAAATAAATATTTTAGTTGGAGATCACAATTTTTGTCTGATTAATAACAAATAGTTCTAAAAAACAATATCAACTCAAATATCGTTGCACCTATACTTGAAATTTGAGTATTATATTTGTTGACTATTAATAATTATTTGTCAACTCTCACTAAATACTTATTAAATAATTTATTAACAATTAATAAAGCTTATTAATTATCAAAAAATCTTTTCATCAGTGTAGATGGTTATAGCCACGATTCCACTTCATGATTTTTACAAAATAAATAATTTTATCTACGTTGAATGTTTTTGTAAAGCAATAAAGTATTCTCAGCCACAATTTTAATTAATACAGAAGAAAACGATGTTCACACTGCGGTAGGTGTTTCTACAATGAAACGAAGCTGAGTAGAAAAACGTTACACCCCCCAACTTACAATCGGCGCCGTGATGGCGAAGGCTATTTATTTTTAGTTAAAAAGTCTACCATTCGCTTTTAAATAATACACAGAAAAAAAGAATTATTTGAACTGAATAAGATTTATTTGAGCCAAAGATATCGTATACTTGGATATGGCCAAATAAATATTTATTTGTGAGAAATATACGATATATTTGAGCTATTTAATTGCGTCAAATAAGTGATTTATTTGTTGTCAAGATATGATTTATTTGTGGTAAATAAATGATAGTTGACGCAAATAATGCATATTTTAAAATATTAAAAATTAATTGTACATATTTTTAGGTTATTATAACGCTACTATAGAATAAAAAATTTATAATTTATTTTATTAGAACAGAAATACAATTAAAAATTCAAATCACCTTTAGATATAATATGGTTACCTTCAGCTGTAACATGCACTTTTATTGGACGAAGACAATTATTAATATTGAAAATTAAAATTTGTTCAGTTGTATTTTTATCAGGTAATATTACTATGTATCCTTTTAAATGATCATTTAAACCGACAGTTAAACAATTAATTAACAATTGTTCCATCGTTTCGATCACTATTATGAATTATTTAAAATTGAAAATTGAGAATTCATACAATAATACGCACTATTATAAAAAAAAACAACAAACGTTTTTAATGAAAATGGCGGTCACTTGAGAGTCAGTTCGGGTGACGTCCGAAGAATATGCGCGCGCAGTAGTTGAGAATTCAACATTTGACTGGTACCCTCAAAGATGCCGTTGTTTACCATAAACTTAGCATCTTTACCACAAATAAATGATATATTTCTGACAAATAATAAAATAATTCGAGTCAACTGTTATATTTACTTGTATCAAATATATATGGTTGTCAAAAAGAAATATTTAAAAAAATGACTCAAATAAATTGATTTATTTGAGACAAATAATTCTTTTTTTCTGTGTACACGGTAGGTTTTTATCTCTCTCAATAAAACTCATAAAAAGAGAGAAATATTTTCAAAAACAATACCCGTCTCATGGATAATAAACGAATGTAAAAATTATATGTTATACAGAGGAGAATAAAATGTTTAAGAGGTTAAAACTAAACGCTTTTAACAAAGCATTTATTTATAGTGATACTTTGTATTAACTTTTATTCACCCTCTCGGTTATACTGTGTTGCAAAAAGTAAAAATTGAATAAACGTATAAGTTGAAACTAGATCCAACTAAGAAATTGTAGACACAAACTTTGTTATTCACTGATCGGAATTATAAGTTCGTCAATGCTATTCTCTTAAAGATAAAATTCTATAAAAAAAAATTCTGGGGCCTGTCCTAATAGCAAAAAGAGTCATGAAAAATTTTTCGGTAAAATCACGAAGACGTCTATTAAACAGAAGTATTTCCATTCTTAGGTAAACTTGAAAAACATGTAGGCTATGTTTCTTATAAGAACTTAATAAAAGTAACGAGTGTTTATTATTCAATTTATTGTTCTAGATACTGCATGCGGTGTTTTTGACTCAGATCCGTCGGTGACAATATTTCGGAAAATACTGATTTACTCTATAATAATTTTCAGTCACAGCATGACTATTATCTATGGTTTGACAATTGTCGCTGACGCAGTGGTCAATTGCACCGATTTGATGATTATTGCGTATGACGGAGCCATTATTGCCGGATGGATTTTGATATACTTCAAGATACAGATATCGCACAGTATGCGTAAAAAAATATTAAAACTTATAGATGACATTCGAAATCCTATCGATATATTGACTCAATCATGCGGTAAGTCATTATCATTTAAGTCTCTGATTTCCAATATCAAGAAAAAAAAATGTGTTCCAAAATATTTTTTTTTTCGTTAAAGCTTGCAATTCTTATTAATAAAGACAAAATTAGTTGGTAAAAAGCAGAGCAATTTTAAGTTAAGATAAATAATTTTCAAAACCAAAGAAAAAACGAAAAATATCTTTGATCGAGAAAAATTTTTTTAAGTTAGATAAACTTTTTTTTCTGCATGATAATATTTAATATTCTACATAGTTACCGGCGTCATTTTTTAAAAAATCATGAAAGACTCAGTTTTTTTTTTTTAATTATAAAATAGGAAGTATTATCATAATAAGATTTCAGTCAACAACATTCCAAGACTAGCAACTATTGTAACAGAACAATAATAAATACAATTTTTTTTTTTTTTTTTTCAAAGTCCCATAAACTACTAAGGTCATGAGCGACTACGGTAGGGGCTAAACTTTTTGTGGTTGGAACTCGTTTTATTTTTTGGGCTGAGCAGAATAATGCACTTAAATATTGAAAATATTCATTGGTGTACGCCGGACTCGAACCCGGTCCAATGCTTTGGAAAGCAAAGGCCGGATCCGATAGGCTACTGTGCGCCTAATAAATCTTTATAATTTTTAATTTGTCTTTCTTATAAAAATAAAAAAAATTGTTTATTACATTTTACCTTATGTTGAAAATTATCAGTTTTTTTTTCTTTTCTCTAAGATTCGTTGGTTTATTGAATATCTACTTTTCTAATATAAAAAAATTCATTTGTTTATTTATATACATTCTTAATGATTGAATTACAAATAACGATATACAAAATACTAATTTTAACTGTATAGAATAAGCATCAGTTTGCTTTGATGTCTATTCGCCCAACTTGGCAGTAGTTTGTTTATCATGTGTCTCAATGGTTATCTAATCGTTTCGGTGAGTATTCAAAGATAATTTTTTCTTCTGTTACAGAAGAAAATTTTGGTCGGACATTTCATTGGAATTTCGACCATCAGTTTTCAGATAATAAACCAATGTTGATGCGAGCTATTATATATTTGTCGGGGGGTTTTCTTCAATTACTCTACTGGTGTGCGCTCGGAAATGAACTCAAATATCAGGTGATTGATTTTATTCGGATGAAAGGCTTGAGCGAAATGCATGAAATTTTTTATGGTCTTTGAACGATCAATTATCAACAGAACCACATTTATAATATGATATTTCATCATTGTCATGCGATAAATAATAATTCAATTTGAGTTGGTTTTTTACGGCTATACTATAATTAATGTTAACCCTAGACTGGTCAACAAACGCGACGTAACGACTTAGGTCAAGTAATGAGGGATTTCCCGCAATGCTTTTAGAGCGTAGTGTTGCCAGTTCATACACGTTTGACTGGCAGAGACTAGAGGTGTAACACCGCGGACAAAAAACTACTTACGGCTCTGGTCAAGCGATGAGGAAAGCCCCACGAATTGCCACAAATTTTTTTAAGAAATTTTTTTTCAGCAATTTAACGTTTCCGAAGATGTTTGAAAAAATTATTAATATATTCTATAATGTTCAAGGAACAAAGTCAAATTTTTTTGAATAATTTTAGTAAATATTGAAGATGTAATAAAAAAAATATAATTGAGCGCGGCGTCACGCTCATACGTTGACCAGTGTAGGGTGAATTCTACTTAAACCAACACGAGCATATTCTCTGGAAGACTGATGTTTATTTTCAAAGTTCATGGAACATAAATTCCACGGTGGACCAGTAGACGCATATATTATGAGAATGGTTCCCATGATATTATAGGAATGGTTCCTATAATAAACCGGAATGGCTTCTATAATATCTAGCATTTATTCCTATAATTATGGAAACCATCCCTATAATATTATAGAAACTCTTGCTATATATTATGAGAACCATTCCTATATATTATGGGAATCATGCCGGTAATATTACAGCTATAAGTATAGGTATCGTTCCTATAATTATAGGAACCATTCCCATAATTATAGAAACATTTCCCAAAAATTATGGTATAGAAAAAAATTTAATTGAAATTATAGGAACGATTTTCACATTTTCCTTTCCGTGTACTAGATTATTCCTGAAAAAAAATTTTTTGTGTTAATTATCTAAAATAGTAATAAAATTTTTTAGTGTTGAAATAATTAGTTTTATAATTTTGTAATTATAATTAATAATTATCAAATAAACTCGACAATAAGTAGATGATAAAATTGACTACTTAATTTTCTACGTGTATCGTATGTATACAAAAATTTGTTTAATTTCACTGATTATTTCAGGCGGACAATTTGACAACAAGTCAATGGATGTCAGGCTGGGAGAACAACTACCACGGAGGTATCAATAATTTAGTTACAACTGCTATGATAAAAACGATGCAGCCATTAGAAATGCGAGCTGGCGGTTTATTTGCACTTAAAATGGAAACTTTCATATCAGTATGTAATATTCAATTTTTAAATGATTTAAAGATTCATTAATAAGATTATTTTTTTTTTTTATTTTAGATCCTCAAAAGCTCGTACTCTGTTTTTGTGTTGATGACAACGGTTTCTGGTTAGCTGGACACTTCATCCTAATATGGAATGAAAAAATCGTTTTTACTCTTTATAAGCACTGTAGAAAATGTAGATTTTGTTACTACTAAAATAAAAGCATGTACAACATTCTATTTTTATGACTCCAAGTCATAATTTTAAGCACTAGAATATTTAATTAAAGGCGAATAGAACTCGAACATTTTTTTATCACCGTAATGAAGTTTAAAAATAAGCTAACAGATAGACAAGAACAAAAAAAAACCTAAGAAAATCGCATGTCTTGTCACGGGAGCTATAAGAATAATTATAGTCTATAAGCAAGTACGCGGAACCCCTGGATGTATTTTCAGCTTTTTTTTGATAATATAACAACACTTGATAGAAAATTATCCCTCATTGAATATTCAGTAGTGAATTTTTCCTTTCTCACTACGGAACATATAATTTGGTAAGCAATTATTTGCAATTGACTTTTTTTTTCACGGAAACATCGAAGGTAATAATAATCGAAGTATAAAGTTACGAGTATCCTTTTTGTCTATTCTTATTTTTGAGCCCAGAAGAATAACTAAAGCTGCACCGTAAATTATACAAAGGCTTTTTTACACGATGAAAAATGTATCTGTCGATACTCACCGTAAATTTTTGAAAATAAATTTTTTTGTACTAAGGTTTATATCAATTTAAATATTATTTCCAGTGTAAATTGAAAATATTGGGCTGCATATTTAATATCAATAAAAACATGGTTTCAGATACACTGGAATTTGGCCGCTCTTACCGTCAGCTAAAATCGGCTGGAAAATATTAAATATTTTTTACAAATATTTCAACTTGATAGCTTACATTTTTTATTTAATAACTGTAGGGGCTGACGCGCTGGCCAATGTCACTGATTTGACGATATTTGGTTGCGACGGCTGCTTTTTTTTTGGGACAAGCATGATGGTGTATAAATCCTACAAATTTTCGGTCCGGCAAAAAGAGATTACAAAACTCACTGATGAAGTCTACGGACCTATAGATATTCTTCTACAATCTTCAGGTAACCTTTCAGTCATTTATAATTTTATTTTTCACAACCGTAGATCTCAGTATTTAGTTAGACTTCATGCAAAAGCGGTCTGACTAGCCAAACGTTGTTTAAGTATAGTGAATGAAAATTTATCACGTTTAGTTTCAAAGTAATAAATTAAGTATTTTTATTTAATTTATACTTTTTATCAATTTGTTACAGAAAAAATGTTTTAACCAATTAAACATCTGTAAATACATAATGAATTTTCATTCTCGACATTTAAACAATATATCACTAGACAGAACGCTTTCGCATGAAATCTAACTTAATAAATTTTAATTATTGATTAAAACGTTAATTGTTTTTCTAGTCTTATGTTTCAATAATTTTCAGACCGTGGAATAGTGATAAACATAAAAAGACAATTGTTCTATGAAACAATACAACTCTACAGTCTTTATATATCAATAGTAATTACGACATTCGCCTTGATATTTTTAGTCCCTCGTGAAAAGGGTCTCTTACCAATCCGAGCTATCTATCCCTTTGATACAACCGTTTCGCCCAACTATGAACTAACAATTTTCTATCAGTTTTACTGTGTGGCCTACATTCTGCTGATGGCGTTGACGGTCGATTCTACAATGATTGGACTTATGAGATGGCTGACGATTCAAGTCCTTGCACTGACCAACAATTACAAGAATTGTGACAGCAAATTAACGAAACGCGCTGGTTTAATTTCCCCAGATGAATCTTATAGAACTTTTTCGGAAATAAACCTCTTAAAAATTAAGGATCAAGAGAATTTAATATGCAAATTTTTAGCTTTTAAGGAGCAAGAGATCAAAGACTGCAATGATAATTTCACCGGGAGATTCAAAACCTGCATCAGAAACTATGAAAGAATTAGAAAAATAGTTAACAATGTCAATACGACTTTTAGCGTTTTTCTGTTAATTCAGTTTGCAACCAGCTTATTAATCATTTGTCTGAACGGTTTCATGATAATACTGGTAAGGATCACTTTTGAGATAATTGTTGCTCTAAGTAAATCGTGAAAAAATTCGCTAACATGTTCTGAGCAAGTGACGCATTACTCGACACATTGAGTCAAGCATGTCCTAGTATATTTGAAATGTCTATATATAATTTTTCGACCAAAAGTAGTGTCGAAAATATCCAACAGAGGGAGCATGATCGATGAATCTTCTCTTTACCAGAGAGTTAATCTTGAGGTGTTGTTATAAAATATAGATCATTTTTTTTAATATTCCGGAGGGCTTATCTGCTATTAGTTTGCAGTTAAATGAATCACTTAATTATATAATATCTGTATATCATACAATATGTTTATAAAAGTACACATTATTCTGATAAAATCAAAAATTATAAAAAATTTTTGTTTTTATTTGTGTACAAAGCCTGATATGGTCATGTGTATGACCATCCCAAGTCATATGTGACCATATCAGAAAACTATTTCATCAAAATTATTGAACAACGTCGAGAAGTAACTTTTGTACTTTCAGAATACGAACAGTGCAGCTAACTCAATGCGGTTTGGACTTTATTTATTCATGTCTTTTGCTGAGTTACTTATATATTGTTTTTACGGAAATCAGTTTACTTCCATGGTAATTAAATGAATTAATAATTATTTATATTATTAATGAATGATTTAAGATTGACTTAATTGGAGAAATCATTTTTTAGGCTGACACACTGACGCACAATCAATGGATGTCGGGATGGGAATGCGCATATGAGAGGAATAATAATAATGAATTGAGCAATCTTGTAACAACCTCAATGATACCGACATTGAAGCCGCTGCAATTTAAAGCAGGAGACATGTTTGCCCTATCAATGCCGACTTTTTTGATGGTACCTATATTTTTTTTATTGTTACTACTTTTTTTCCACTTATTGTCATCCTCCTCTCAATTTGAATTAATTGTTTAATTTGTGCTTGCAGATTGTAAAAAGCTCCTATTCTACACTTGTACTTTTGACTACAGTTGTCGCTGATGGATAAGACGCAATTAGAAATTTTCTTGCATAATTTTCTGAAGTAAATACTTTACTGTTGTTATCACTTAACATATTTGAATGTATAAAATAAATCTAGTTGTTACTAAAATTTTGTCATGCCTTAAGAAATTATTCTGACTACTTTCTTAGCAATGTTTATGTGAATGTATTTTTAAAAATTTGGAAATTCAACTTGATGAATTTTGAAAAATCTCAAAAATAATATTTTTACGGCCTAATAGGGTAAATCATTATTACGATCACTTCCAAAATTAAAAATTAAAATCCAAAAAAATTAGAAAAAAAACATTAGGTAAACGGTTGACCTGAAAGGCCATCCTTGCAACTTGTCGCTAATTCCATACCTAAGCGCTTGAAATTGCACTTACACGGAGAAAAAAATATCGTTAGAATAAGGACCTCGGGGACAGAAATGAACTAACTAACCTAGTGACTTTTTCGATGATTCCCACTATGTAGGAGCTAGAGTTCAAAGCAGTTGGTCGGTTCAACCTATCAATGCCTACATTTTTATCGGTAAGCGTCATTCAATCCTTATCATTTATTTCCCAATTCACCAAGTAATTTAAAAAATTTAAACAATCTACTGATTTTGGTCTCGAATCGCACATAAACTGTCTAATTTTTTTTCCGTAGGTTGTGGATAGCTCATACTCGATCCTAGTTCTTTTAATCCAGTTTACAGAATAATAAAAGTTCGATGACGACCATTTTAATAACTCCGATTTATCAGTTTAAATATTCAACTTTAATTTCATCATATCAGATCATTATATATTTTTGTCTCATTCATCACTCATCTCCAAATTCACCAATAATTGTTATGTTTAATTGTTACGTTTGCCAATGAATGAAGTATATTTTTATTCAAAAATAATAACTCGCAATATCACTGAGGTAATGCATAATGTAAAACATGAGAAACATATCACGCAAGGGTGCACAAGACAATCGTTCACCCCCGTGCTTTTTTTGCACCTTTTTCATCGCCACTCTCGATGTCGATAGGTAATTATAGTCTAAGTATATTAAATATTCTCTAGCGTTCGATATTTCCGTATTGAAAAAATAATGTATTATTTAATGCAATTTCGTAAATTACACAGTACGTTGTTACTTTATAAATAAATTTAGCTAGTGTTAGAAAATAATGAAAAGTTTAAATCACTATCACGACATCTCCCGGAAAGCAATCATTTTTTATTTTCTGACTGCAACATAGTTCATTATTTTCTGTTATCTATTTTTGAAAACTTATTTTTATTACAATGAATAAAAGTCATCGGAGAGTGAATAACATGAGTAAAAAAATTTTGAGGTTCAATTGATTTCTTTAAATCAGTATTAGTGTATCATCATTAATATCACGGTGAATAATTTTCAGAGTTACCGGAATTTGGCCGCTTGAAACAAACGTGCCGACAGTTTTCCGACTGGTTCATCATATCTTCCGGTTGGTTAATTTGACACTTTTTTTGTCTTTGCTCACAAGCTCTCTGGCAGATTCTGCAAATAACATCAGAGACCTGACGGCGTTCACGGAAAATTTGTGTTTTTTCTTCGGTACCGGTATGACATTGGTAAAAGCCTTGATTTTTTGTGCTCGCCGAAAAACAATACTTAAATTTATCGAGGAAATTTATGGACCCATTGATTTACTGCATCAGTCAACTGGTAACTAAAATTGACATTTTTTTAATTTTTAGATTAAGAAATGAAAATTTTGCAATTTAATGTCCAAAACTTTGACGTTCCTATTTTTCAGGTAACTAATTTTAACTGTAATAAAAAAAAAGTTATTTGTTCTCAAAATTGAATTATGAGCAATATGATCTATGATCAACATAGTTAAATTTAAATTAGTCGATAATATTTGATTGTGAGTCCAAAAATTAAAAAACATTTCGCGCTCAATTTTATAATCACTTTGATTATTTTTTCAAGAAATAAAAATATTGAAATTTTTAATAATAAAAATTGATGTTTTGATAAAAAATAAAGCTTGAGTCAAGCTGAAAAAGTCTCGAGTTGAGATGTTTTTCTGAATTTAAGTAAATATTACTTGGCTCAAAAAATTTTCAACTTTATTCAAATTCATTAATTTCTTCAAATTAATTTTCGTTTAAAAGTCGATCTGCTTTTCAAAAATAGGAAGTAACATTTGCAAAATATTATGCTATAAAAATCAAAATCTAAATTTCCGGCTTTTTTCCAAAATTTAACCATTCAATGATCTATTGAACCATTAAAAAAATGCAAGCAATATTTTTATTTTCAGACTCACAAGTACTGACGACAATAAACGTGACAGCACACCAGGAATTAAAAGAATTTTATTTTCTCTGCGTGTTGGTGTCATCGATGGGTCTAGCGCGAATAGCATCTGGTCGAAAAACAGAAAATGGATTGCCATTACCGACATACTACCCTTTTGACACGAGCAAACCACCCATTTATCAGATTATTTACCTATGCGAATCATTTTGCATTACGTTCAATCTGATGGTTGTAATGATAACCGATTTCACGGTGATTTGTTTCATAAAATGGTTGACAGTTTCACTGAAAATTATAAGCTCGAACTATAAAAATTGCGACAGCAATTCGGTAAAACGGTCTATCTTTACTGCAACTTCTTATCCAAAAATGATCAAGGCTACTCAAAAGATTGATATCGACATCGAGCAGATTGATATACAATCTTTCGTGTCATACGAGCAAGTTCATGATTATGACGTCAATAACAATAGCACTGACTGTTTCGAGGAGAGACTGAAATTTTGCATAAGACAGCATCAGAAAATAATAACAATTGTTGATGATCTCAACATCATTTTCGGTCGCTATATGTTTTTGCAGGTTGCTACTAGTACGGGGCTTATTTGTTTAAATGGCTTTCAAGTTATTGTTGTAAGTTATCCAAATTGAACATTTTTTAACAGTGCAATAAAAATTGATAATAATATTTTTTTTTTTTTTTGTTAAGTGCAAAGATAGTTCAACAGTTGTGAGATTTCTAATAAGTCTGATCGCATCTTTCGTTCAACTCTTGTTTTGGTGCTGGTATGGAAATAAATTTGTTTCTATGGTAAGTCAAAAAAAAACTTTTGCCCCTGAAAATAACTATTATTGAATATAAAAAAATCTTATGCATGTATACGCGTTTGTTAAGTAGGCCGATACATTAATAACCAGTCAATGGATGTCTGGATGGGAAAATTCATTTAATCGAAGCATAAAAAAACTTTTGGTGATATCAATGATCCAGTCTTTACGCCCGCTTGAATTTCACGCACTCGGACTCATCAGATTCACCATACCAACCTTTGTTGACGTAAGAAAATTATCATTAATATAGAGTTATCATTTAAAAAATATATACTCATGTATGTATAAGCTCTCTTTAATTTTTCTGCAGATTGTCAGAAAATCGTACTCGGTGTTCATACTTTTGAAGCGTACCATTTCTGATTGAGTGGTCTTAGATGTCTGCTTTTAAATTACTGAATAAAAGTTTTAATATTTCATAGCTCTATTAATCAACAAATCTCGTAAAAATGTATATTATAATTATCAATATTTTTATCAGGTATATTTTTTCAATGTTATTATTTTAAAATGCACAGTGGTAAATAGTCGTTTAAATATTCAGCGGTAGTATTATCCAACTTGATATATAAGTGCCAAAAAATACCTACACGAAGAAAATGAAACATTATTGGTTAATGACAGTTCTCAGTCGTGTTCAAACTATTTTCCAACATGCCTAACCTTTACTGTCATGGATACATTACTGACTACTGTTCAAAATACTAATCAATGATGTTTTATTTATTTCATGAGATGGAAGTAATAGTGATAAAGAAGACATTACTGATTCGTTTTATTAATAATTAAAGTTATGCATAAGACAGCATCAAAATTTGGTTTGATTTGTTGATAATCTCAATAGACGTTACAAATATAAAATAAATACGTCATCTGTATGTAGCCTGCTTTTTTTTTCTCGCATATTTTATTTTTTCAATGTAGGAAGTACACTTCATAAATTTGGTTTTTGTTACTATCGAAATTTTTGATATTGCGAAAATTAAGTAAAAACGAATAATTATTGTATCGATGCAAAATAAAGTCGACAAATTGAATTTAGCGGGATTTATTTTTGGCTTAGAAGCCGCATTTACCTAGTTACTATTATGGTGCTAGTATGACAATGAATTCATTTATACAATAACTATTTTTTGTTAAAATATATCTTACTTCAAAACTTACTGCTTAGAAAGATTTACGGATGTTTTAAACCAAAGTAAAACGAAAATATGTATACGAATGATTTGAAGAATCTCATTTGTTTTTTCAATGATTCAAGCAGTGAGACCCATTGAATTTAAAGCTACTATTCTTATAACGTTTTTAAACGTGCTTTTATCTAAGAATTTATTTTAATTTTTATCGAGATAAAAATTTTAATCGAAATGATTTTCGAACATTGACATGTTTTAATACTTTTCAGATTCTCAAAACTTGATACACATAGTCCGTGAACTTCTTGAATCAATTCAAAGTAAATATCTTGAAACAAAAAGGAATTTTAAAAAGAATTTTATTCTTGATGTAAGTTTCTTTTCAGTATACAGCCAGCCAGATGTTAGTTTAATTGATTACTGTTGAGTAATTAGGAACCAGTAAATTCTAAATAAATTGATCAGTGCAGCCGTTTCAAAGTTATTCCAAAAAATGTCGGAGTTCTGTTAAAAAAACAATTGTTTTCAAATATTTTATCGAGGATATATCTCGAACTAATCAACCAATTTCCACGTTTTTGACGGCGATCGACGCGGTTTTATAAGCTCTGAAATTATTCTATATCATCAAAAACGATCCGAGAAGAAATGACGAAATTATGTAAAAAAAAAACACTTTTTTTTGTTTTCTTTCGTTCACGATATCTCTCGAACGAATCAACCGATTTTGACCGGATTAGCGAAGATCGGCGTGGTTTTTTAAGCTTAAGGGCAAATTAGTTTTTGAAGTTGATCGATAGAGCTGTTTAAAAAATATTCCAAAAAAACCACTTTCAAAAATGATTTTTTTCTTATTTTTTTTAGATTTTTCAAAATTTCTTAAAATCTATCGGTCCAAATCGGTTCAAATTCTCAGAAAATCTAAGTTTGAGGGAACTCTTTAGAACGCCGTTTAGTTCATTCCGATCGGTTCAGTCGTTCAAAAGTTATAAGCGAGTCACATAGTCACACATAGTCACACATACACACACACACATACACACACACACACACACACACACACACACACACACACACACACACACGCACACACACACATACATACATACATACAGACATAGTGACAACCTCGCGGGGATAGTCAGGGAAGCTTCCTGTGACCTTCAAACGTCGATATCTGATGAAAACTCGATTTTTGTAAAACGGGGTGAAAACAATAACTTCCCGATTTTTGAAAATCTTCGATTTTCTTAGCGGGAAGTTAAAAAGAGTTTTTTTCAAAATAACTTTCTTTCTCTCTCTAGTCAATTGGAATTTTCTAAATTATCTTTGTGTACTTGAAAAATCACGTCAAACACTATAAGTTGTCCGAATTTTGAGCTCGAACAGTTCAAAAATGAAATGATATTTAAAAATAAATGGAAATACTTCGAGCATTAAAAAATAAAAACACTTAGAAAAATTTTTTATTGAGAAATTAATTAAAATAAAAAAATACCTTCATAGTAGATGATTGATGTGATTGTCTCTAAAATTAAATTTATTTCTCTAAATTCTGTTTTTCTTCTTCTGGTGAGTGATCTGAAGAAAAAAAAAAAAACAAAAAATTATCATTTCATTCAGTATCAACTATTGAAAAATAATTTATAAAATATCTGGAAGACTTGATACACAAAGTTAATATTTACGGTTTCTCATTCAGTAACAAAACGATCAAATACGTACAAAAGTACCCGCGTAATTTAAATGTTAATAAATAATTTTAGTCGTCAAAATAATTTAAAATTAACAGAAAAAGTTTTCTGATGGACTTTTAACAACTGAGTGAGGAGACTGTTCAAACTTTCTTTGTTACAAAATTCGAAAAAAAATTGTAAGTTTCAACTTTTGAACACAAAGAACGGAGAAAAGTTTAACTGCTTTAAATCGGACGCAAGTCAGCTTTAAAATGAGTTTTAAAGTAGTAGCCAAAGAAAGAAAAAATAAAGCAAGCGAATCGCGCATCTGCAGTCAAAACTATAAAACTAATTTAAGCCTATAAGAAAATTTACCCAACCTCAGTTTTATTTATTTTTCAACTTCCCAACGCTAAAGGAAAATTACCCTAATATAAAATTCACAAACATCTCTAGGATAATAATAGGTTAAAATATAAAGTCACAGCTATCTTCTTTTTATATTCTCACTTTAAACTCAGAGGGGTGTCCAAACAAAGCTTGGGTGTAAATTTTACCCTCTACGTTTGCGCGATGGAAAATTTATCTGGGGATACTCACCGCAAATTTCTAAAAATATATTTTACAGTTATAAGGTGTCTATAGATCTCGATATTCCTTTCTTTGTGAGTTTAAAATATAAAGTTGTTTGTTTAATATAAAATAATATGTTCTTACAGATACAGTGGGATGTTTGCGCTCATGCCTTCGGCAAAAATAGGCTGGAGAGTACTGAATATTTTTTATAAATATTTAAATTTCGCAATTCTTATTTTTTATCAGGTAACTCTTGGGACAGACGCTCTAAGGCATGTCACCAATGTAACGATATTTGGAAACGACGGTTGCTTTTTTTTTGGGGTGTGTAATTCTCTTTTTAAATGCTGGAAATTTTCGGTTATGCAAGATAAAATTATTGAACTCGCTGAAGAAATTTACAGCCCTGTAGATATACTTCTACAGTCTACAGGTAACGTTTTAATTAATTATTTGAAAAAAATCTAAAACACGGTTTAATAGGAAATTAATTTAAAAAGTAAAAATAATTTTTAATAAAAATAGGCTGATCAACAAAAAATTTATTTTGTTGTACAGAAAGTGTGGAGTGCTTAATAATATTTTCATTAATATTTTATTGGTAGATATTTGTAATAGTAAAATTATTACAAAAATATTTTAAAAATCACCCGACTCTTTTCTGACAATAAAATGATCTTTACATTAATCAATTCCATAAATTTTTAAATATTAAAACTTATTAAATTTATTGGAAGCAAATATCGTCTTGAAAAAACATGAGAACCAAGTCAGGAATCGAACCTGAATCTCTCGGTTACATCGCAAGTGCTCTACCACTTAAGCTACCACATTCGAAATCCACTTACTCTATGCTTCTTTTAAGTTCGATAAAATTAACTTTTTTTTAATATATATTCTTATTTTAAGCTCATCCAAAATGATTTTCGACTTTTTAGTTTATTTTACTATTAAACTGTGTTTTTGACCTTCTATAGGTACATTTATTAAAAAATTCATCTACTATAGCCGATCTTAATAAAATGTTGTGTAATTATTTTATGGACCATTATTACCTTAATCAAGTTCAAAAACAGATAAAATTGATCATTGAGTTTACAAATAGAGAGCGTTTAAAAATTTCTTTGATTTTCAAAAAGTTTAAATTTATAGTCAATTTTATTGGAATAATTTTTCAACCGTAAGATTGCTCAAATTCGATAAATTTATCTTAAAATTCCCTTAATATTCTTTAAGTTAATCTATTTGTCCACTTTAAATTATTTTTTTTAATTAATTTCGCGGCTTAGAAAATTAAAAAAATAATTTTCATAAAATCAATTTTTAGCCTTTATCAGAAAATACTTTTCATATATAATAATTACGAATAAATTTTTTTATTGTTATTTAAAAAATCTACGTGCATTTATTAATTCCCATTTCCACGAGGTGTAATAATTTCTTTTTATTATAAATAACTACCAAAATTTTAATTGTAAACAAATTCAGTGATATTTATTTGATAATTAAAATTATTTTTAGATCGTGGAATATTAGTTAACATAAAAAGTGTATTATTTTGGGAACAATTACAATATTATTCATGTATAATGTCGAACGTATTCCTGACAATAGCCTTAATATTTTTGGTGCCTTATGAAAAGGGTTCCTTACCAATGCGAGCTGTGTACCCCTACGACATAACAGTTTCGCCGAATCACGAACTCACATTCTTCTACCAATTTTACTGTGTGGCCTACTGTCTGACAGTAGTGATAACAATTGACGCCTCAGTAATTGGATTGATGAGATGGTTGACGATCCAAATCCTTGCACTGACTAACAACTACAAATACTGTAACAGCAAGTTATCGAAACGCGCTGGTCTAGTTTCCCCGGTCAAAGCTCGTAAAACTTTCGAAGGAATTGACGCCATGAAAATTGAATACGAAGATACTGAGATACTAGAATTTTTGGCCTTCGATAGGCAAAAGGTCAAGGAATGCGATGATGACTACATCGGAAGATTTAAAAATTGCATCAAACACCATCAGAGAATTAAGAAACTAATGAAAGATTTTAACGACATTTTCAGCGATTTTCTGATGATGCAGTTTGCAAGCAGTTTATTGATCATTTGTTTTAATGGCTTCATGATGTTAATTGTGAGGATATATTTTAAGGAAGTTAATTGTTTTAACCAACACGGAAAAAAAATCATGTCAAAATTACAGTAAAATTTGTTAAATTTAGATTGTTATATTTTAAATTGTAATTCTTAGGGGAAGGTGGCCTAAAGCGGGTATGTTAACGTTAAGAACCGTGTAAAAGAAAATATTAAATTTGTATGGAAAAAAAATGTAAATCAGTCATTTGGAAAAAATGTCAATGTTATATCGCATAAAATCTAAATTTAGCAATAATTTTAGCACAAGTCGTAGGGCCACATGCACGGGCCGCATTACTTAACCATTTTTGTAATTTTCACATAATTTTTTTCCGTAAAGTGTTCGAAAAGCAAAGTAATTTTTTTTCAATTTCAGGAAATGGAGAAAGGAGCCAACTTTATTAAATTCTTTATTTACTTGAGTATGTGTTTTGGTCAGTTATTAGTGTATTGTTACTACGGAAATCAGTTTACTGAAGTGGTAATTAAGTAACTCAATTATTTAATTATTCATTAATTACGTAGATTTTAATTGGAGCAATTTTTTTTTAGGCAAACAGTTTGTCATACAGTCAGTGGATGTCGGGATGGGAGTCCACGGATGAGAGGGATAATAATGGTAATAAGCTGAGCAATCTCGTGACAATATCGATGATACCGACATTGAAGCCGTTGGGATTCAAAGCACTTGGCTTGTTCGAATTGTCGATGCCGACGTTTTTGTCGGTACTGAACTTTAAAAAACTTGATTTAACAATATTTTTTCCGTCAATGAGATTCCAACCAATTGGTTACTGATAATTATTAAATTTATTGTTACAGATTGTAAAAAGCTCATATTCTACATTGATACTTCTGACGACAGTTGCCTCGGATTGATGATACAGTACCAGAAATTTTCTTCTATAGTTTTGTTAAATAACGACTCCACAATTATTGTTAGTTAACACCTGAAAGTATAAAATAAATCTAGTTGTTGCTGAAATCCTGTCTATGTTTTAGAAAGTTATTTTGATCATTCTTAAAATATCCTTTGTCTGAATTCATTTTTTTAAAATCTTCAAAATTGACTACTGTTCCCAAGATTAATCCATCTAATGAAACGACATATTTTTATAGTTTTTACAGGCTTTTTTTAGATAAATTAAATAACTACTAGTTTCAAATTCCTTCATGACCAGCTCCCTGATTTAAAATTCAATAATATTTTACCTGTTTCTTACAATGAAACATTTTATCTTATCTATTCTTAAAACTTTGAAGCCTTTTTATAGTAGGAATGAACAGTTACGGACTTTCTCAAAGACAAAGTCTTAAAATTTATCCATTGTTCAGCACTAAAACAAATTTCAAGTCACAATTATTTATCGCAAAAAAATTGTTCATAATTTGAACTTTGTTGAGTTGAACATTAGCCAACTTAAAGAATAAATTTATAAAAAGTAATAATTTAAAAAAAAAAAAAAAAAAAACCCCAGTAAGTCGCGTGTCTTGTTACGAGAGCTATAAGAATAATTATAGTCTATAAGCAAATTCACGGAACCCCTCGATTTATTTTCAGCTTTTCTTTGATAATATAACAACACTTGATAGAAAATTATCCCTCATTGAATATTCAGTTGTGAATTTTTCCTTTCTCACTACGGAACATATAATTTGGCAAGCAATTATTTGCAATCGACTTTATTTTCACAAAAACAATTAAGGTAATAATAGATCGAAGTAAAAAGTTACGAGTATCCTTTTTGTCTATTCTTATTTTTGAGCCCGGAAGAATAACTAAAGCTGCACCGTAAATTATACAAAGGCTTTTTTATACGATGGAAAATGTATCTGTCGATACTCACCGTAAATTTTTGAAAATAAATTTTTTTGTACTAAGGTTTATATCAATTTAAATATTATTTCCAGTGTAAATTGAAAACATTGGGCTGCATATTTAATATCAATAAAAACATGGTTTCAGATACAGTGGAATTTGGCCGCTCTTGCCGTCGGCTAAAATCGGCTGGAAAATATTGAATATTTTTTACAAATATTTCAATTTGACAGTTTACATTTTTTATTTGTCAACTGTAGGGGCTGACGCGCTGGCTAATGTCACTGATTTGACGATATTTGGTTACGACGGTTGCTTTTTTTTTGGAACCTGCATGTTTGTATTTAAAGCCTGCAAATTTTCGGTTCTGCAAAAAGAGATTACGAAACTTACTGATGAAGTCTATGGACCTCTAGATATTCTTCTACAATCTTCAGGTAACTTTTCAATTATTTATATTATTATTATATCGTTTTTACTTGTATACCTATTTTGGTTTTTACAAGACTGTAACCCATATTCTCCACATTTTGCTGTTACCACAGTAATACCACTCAAGTGCCTCTTTTTGTTATCATATAACATTCATAATGTTATACCTGGCTTTCACCCCTTTAACTAACACTTGTTTCTTTTTTTGCGTTCAACTCTTTTTATAATCAACATGTTTTCCACTTTTTATTATCAACGTGTTCTCCACTCTTTATAATCGACATATCCATTTCAATTATTTAAATTTTTTTTAAAGACAATAATTTTTTTGTAAAAAGAAAATTTGACATATCGACGTTCTAATTATCAAATTGTCTAACTCCATTTTAGAGAATCTTCCATTTGTACGAAAATACAATTAGTTCAAAATTTATTATCACTTTAAATAATAGAGGTATAATATTTTGGTTAGGATCATTCAAATAATTTATAATTGGACTATTACTACATCAAAATGTTAAAAAAATACCCTCTAAAAGATAAGGAGTTAGACCAATTGTTAATTAGACCTTCGATACTTAATCTCATCTCAATCCAATTGTTTTGATAATAATCTTTGTTCGAATTATTTTCAGATCGCGGAATAGTGATAAACATAAAAAAGCACTTGTTTTATGAAACAATACAACTCTACAGTCTCTTTGTGTCAATAATAATTATGACAATTGCCATAATATTTTTAGTGCCTCGTGAAAAGGGTGTCTTACCAATCCGGGCTGTGTACCCCTTTGATACGACCGTTTCGCCCAATTACGAGCTTACAATCTTCTACCAATTTTACTGCTTCGCCTACTGTCTTACGGTGATACTGGTACTCGATTCTACAACGATTGGACTTATGAGATGGTTGACGATCCACGTTCTCGCACTGACCAATAACTACAAGAACTGTAACAGCAAATTAACGAAACGCGCTGGTCTAGTTTCCCCGATCGAGGCTTGCAAAACCTTTGAAAGAATCAAAGTCTTGAAAATTGCAGACCAAGAGACTGAGATACGGAAATTTTTGGCCTTCGAGAAGCAAGAAATCGGAGACTGCAATGATAACTACATCGGAAGATTTAAGACTTGCATAAGGCACCATCAGAGAATCAAGAAACTAGTCAACGATTTCAACAACACTTTCAGTAGTTTTCTGTTGGTCCAGTTCGCAACGAGTGCATGTATCATTTGTTTGAATGGTTTCATGATAATATTAGTGAGGAATGCATTAAAAAAAATTTATTGTTCAAATTTAATTATGAATAACAAAATGCGGGTCTTTTAATTTCAGAACATAGACAACGGGACTAATTTGATGCGATTTGGAATTTATTTATCTGTATGTTTTTCTGAATTACTTATACTCTGTTTTTATGGAAATCAATTTATTTATATGGTATTTAAATGAGTGAATTATCCAAAAGATTAATCATTGACAAATTAAGATTGAATTGGTTGGAAAAATAATTTTTTAGGCAGACACTCTGACGTCGAACCAATGGATGTCGGGATGGGAATGCACGAATGAAAGGAATAGCAATAATGAATTGAGCAATCTTGTGACGACGTCAATGATGCCAACATTGAAGCCGCTGCAATTTAAAGCAGTTGGCTTATTTGTTTTGTCAATGCCGACCTTTCTGACGGTACTCACTTTTAGAAAATTTAAACAATTTTGAATTGGGTTAATAATTAAATTCGCTTTTGCAGATTCTCAAAACCTCGTACTCTACTTTGATCCTCCTGACAACAGTTGTCGCAGATTAATTTTTTCTAACTATGAGTTTTTAAGTTTGTTAAATAAATGGCTTTTGAAGCTAAAATTTTGAGCGTGGTTTGAAATTTTTTTTTAAATTTCTATCAACGTATGTGTATCGTCTCCAAATGCTAAAAGGCGTATCGCAGAAACTAGATAGGGTTATGTGCCAAAAAGACGTATGAAAAAAATTTTTTTTTTCATCATTAATCGGGAAATTTGTTAAAACGCAAAAAACCAAAAGAGCTTAGCTGAAAAAAATTTTCTAGTAGCCAAAAAGGCAAATGAAGGAAATTTGTGTCGATACAAAATATTTATTAAAAACTTTACAGATAAAACTAGATCAAAATGATTCTAGAGGATACGAAAATCTACTACAGAGAGTAAGTATACACAATAAATTAATGCCAAATTAGATGGCACAAAACATTTATACAACCTTTTGGCTTTCAATCACAAAATTTTGTAATTTCCAAAACCAAAAGAGCGTAAAATTTGATAAATACGTCTTTGTGGCTTAGGAAAATTTTTACTATTTCTAATCTTAGAATATTTTGCCCATTGAAAATCGATGGGCAAAAAAATCGCTACACGCCCTTTTAGCATTACACAGAAAAAAGTGATTCTAAGTTTGTATCTGCACGTGGTTCTAAGTTTGCATTTCATGTATTATATCTATACAGTTATTAGACTAAAAACAGCATTTACTATATACTACTAAGCTGAAAATAGGACAACTGTCATACAAAATTAGAATCACTTTTTTTTCCGTGTAGAAAATCGATAAGTAAAAAATTGAATTTGAGTACAATGTTACTGAATAACTGATGAAAGCATGCATTGTAATGATACAAATTGCATTGATAATTTTTGTAAATAATTATTAGTATTATTATCATAATAATTATCGTTCTTATCTAACATCCAAACAGTCTTCATTAACTAATAAAAGATTTATAAGGTTCGTTAATCATCTAAAAAAGTGGAATTGACACAATGGTTTTTACTGGTGTGGCCTCAGTAATGAACTAAAATTTCAGGTGTGATGAATTATAAAACTTTTCAACAAAATGTTCTAGGAAGAATTCATAAAAACTAGATGTTATTCAGGCAGACCGTTTGACAGTGAGCCAGTGGATGTCTGGCTGGGAAGATCACTATGACAGCGGCATGAAAAATTTGGTTACCACTGCAATGATAAAGACGATGCAGCCTCTGGAAATTAGAGCCAGTGTAGTGGCCTGTTTATTCTTACTCTTGAGACCTTTATTTCGGTAATAAATTTAATATTCTAAAATAGGAATTGAAACACGACAGAAATTGAACAACTGCTCACGATTTTATCAATGCTGTGTTATAACAATAAACTTTGTTGTTTAGATTGTCAAGACCTCGTACTCGGTTTTCTTGCTTCTGACCTCTGCAAGTAAAGAAGAGTCTTAAATGGTTTTGGTTTTTTGCCTAATGCTGTACAATAGTTATATACCTGTGTTAACGTAGTAATAATCAACTTTGTATAAATAGCAGTAAATACAATTAACACTTTTTTCAATAAAATAACTTATTAAGACATGAAAAAATTATTTTTATTTATAAGAAAATATTTTAGCAAAATATCGAACTTGAAATAAAAATTATAAAATGTGTCAGATACCCGTTAAGAATTTTAAGTGAAATAGACTTAAATTATTAGAGAACTTTTCGGAATAAGTCACTTTTGTTTAGTTAATAATTTTCAACGGTGTTCTGAATATATGCAAGTACTTCATTTGACTACGGATGATAGATTGAAGAGAAGGAATAAAATGAAATTTACTTACCCTTAAAGTTTCTCAGTATCACAAAAGCGATCAATAAATTAATTTTACAGTGTCTCAGCCCTCATTAAATATTAAAAGTTTCTTTGTTTCCTCCTTTCAACGCATAAAATGTATTATTGCACCGACTATGTTTTCTACGTATTTTATAATTATTCTCTGCATAATAAATTATCGGCAAATTACACGTTTCTGAGGTTGGGGCGGTACATTAAGAACAATGTAAGAGAGTTGAACTCTTTTAGTGGAAATACATTGTATTCCAGTTTTGCACCCCCGAGGGTTAACTTGGCTGAAAATATATATAAACTTCCTGGTAATTTTAATAACATTAAACTCATATATAATTCTCTACGGTGATGGAAGATATAGCAATTGATATTCATCGGAAGTTCTTGAACATTAACGTAGCAATTCTGAGGCAAGTAAATTGCTAATATCTTCAGAAAATATACGATAAATAATCTAATAATTAATAATTATTCTTCATGTCTCGCACTTCGAGATTATACAGGTAGTTCTACTACTTTCATATCAAATACCACACATTTAGAGCTTCACTTTTTTTTTTTTATATAAGCTGCCTGAACTTAGCCATATGTACGCTGTCTTCTATTAATATCTTATTCATTGTTTTTGTGTCAAACAGACCACACGTAGGGCGTTATTGTATCTCGTTATTTCGTGTTTTTTATTTAAAATAATTCATTATGGGACATAAAAAGAGATCAGCTAGTCGTGAAAGATCGAGTGAAAGGACTTCGAAAAGATTGAAGAAAGTTGAAGATAGGATGGAGGAAATTTTTGCGAGTCTGTCAATGCTCAGAGAAGCGTTGATACCTGAAAGGTCTGAAAAAGAGGATTCGGAGCTGGAAGAGGTTATCCAAAATGGCTCGTTGACTAAAGGTATATTGAAGTTATAGAAATATTCATTCATTAAAGATGTCCGAGAGACTTTAATAAAATTTTAAGCACGAGATGCATACAAGCCCGTGAGGCATATATTTTCTTTCTACAATTTTTTGTTTCTGTTTTATCCGAGAGATAAAATAGTCTATTTTTAAAATAAATTAAGTTAACCTGGAAGGTTGAAAAAAAAAAAAAAAAAGGAAAATGACAATCGTATTAAAAGATATGTCAATGTTTAACATTTTAGATATTCCTAAAAATCCTGAGATTGTTGAAATTCCTCCTGAGGATGGTGTTTCTAAAGATTCAAGTCAAGTTACCGATAAGGTTTTGACGGAAGTTAAGGATTCTAGTGAGACGTCGACTCCTACTGTTTCTGATCCATCAACAAAGGAAGCTGGCTCAGTTCAATCAGAGATTAAGATAAAGGAATCAGAGGATACTCCTTGGGCTCTTGATGAAAGTGTGCTTCAGATCATGGGTGAGGAACCTTCTGCTGAGGAACCACAGTTGGTTTTACACTCAAAAAAGTTGGAAAAAGTATATGACAGAAGGGTTGCGTAAAGAAGATAAGGAAGAATTGCTAAAAAAGTTTCCGAGAGCGGGAAAATTTTCTTTGGATCCACCAATCCTAAATAAGGAAGTGAGTGGAAGCTTAAAGGAATCTGCTGTGAAGAGAGACAATTATTTTTGCTGGACTCAAAAACTTGCTGGTTCGGCGTTATCGGCGCTTTCTTCCGTTATTGAATCCCTTGCTCCATCAAATGTTCCTGAAAATGTGAAGATGCTAGAGAATATTTGGGCGGCTTCAAAATTATTGGTTGAAATTCATCGTTCTCAGACAGTGGCAAGAAAAGCTTGTATTTTACCGACTCTTTCGAAACAGTGGGCTTCCACACTAGAGAAGCGTGTTACTGACAATTATTTATTTGGAGATAAATTAGTGGACAAGGTTAAGGAAGTCAAAGCTATGGGTAAGGTCGGTGAGGAAATGAAACCTCCAGCACCTAAAAAGGCTTTCCCACAGCAGTCTTTAAACTACCGGAGCTCGTCGAGTCAAGTGAAGTCGGGGTCTCAGGCGAGCTACAAGAATGTTTTTCCGAAGAAGCCACTGACTTCCAAGAATCAATCGAATCAATCGAAGCAGTCGACTTACCCGAAGTCGAATCAGTACCAATACAATCGTCATCGCACTCAAGCTCGTCGGTAGATAATGATAATGTAAGTAAGCATGCTGGTCGTCTGAGTAATTTTTGGAAAGTTTGGAAAACAATTACGAATGATAAGTTCATCATTCAATGTGTCAGAGGGTATAAAATACCATTTATTTCTACTCCTTCTCAAGTTCAATCTCCTTTAGATAGACCTTGGTCGAAACAAGAATCTTTGCATATTCAGATGGAGTTGGAGAGATTGCTGATGATTGGGGCAATTGTTAAGGCGGAACCAGTTGCTGATCAATTTCTTTCACCTTTTTTCCTCGTTCCAAAGTCTGACGGCCAACAGAGGTTTATTTTAAATTTAAAAGGCTTGAATTTTTTTATTCAAACAGAACATTTTAAGCTCGAAGACCTTCGATCTGCTTGTAATCTATTGGAATTAGCATGTTTTATGGGAACTGTCGATCTAAAGGATGCTTATTTTTTAATTCCTGTGTGGGCAGATCATCGAAAATTTTTAAGATTTATTTTTGAAGGTCAAATTTATGAATTTATTTGTTTACCTTTTGGTTTATGTTCAAGTCCACAAGTTTTCACGAAGCTTATAAAACCAGTAGTGGGTTTTCTCCGTTTGAAAGGGTTTTCTTCGGTGGTATATCTTGACGATTTTTTATGTTTAGGAAGTTCCTTTCAAGAATGCCCGGAAAATCTTAATGCAACAGTTGATCTTTTAGTTTGTCTTGGTTTTATTATTAATATGGACAAATCAATGTTAATACCAGACCAGAGATGTAAATATTTGGGTTTTATATTAGATTCTCGTCTGATGACTGTTGAATTACCAGTTGAAAAGAAAGAATCTTTGTTACAACAAATCAAATCTTTTCAGTTGAAAAAATCGGTCAAGATTCGTGAATTTGCCAAGTTAGTGGGTTGTTTAGTGGCTTGTTGTCCAGCTGTAGATTATAGCTTACTACATTGTAGTTTATTTGAACGAGAAAAAATTAAAGCGTTACAAAAGAATGAGGATTCTTATGATGCGTTTATGAATTTATCAAGTTCACTTCAAACGGATTGGATTTGGTGGAAAAAGGCCTTGGTACATCCTTTTAAAAAAATTCGGAAGGATATTTATGATAGGATAATTTTTTCTGATGCTTCTTTATCCGGTTGGGGTGCTTTTTGTGAGAATGAAAATGCCAATGGTTTATGGAGTCGAGAAGAAAGAAAACTTCATATTAATCATTTGGAGTTGAAAGCGGCCTTGTTGGCATTAAAATGTTTTGCATCGGACTTGAGGAATTCAGAAATTTTATTAAGAGTAGATAATACAACTACCATGGCATATATTAACCGAATGGGCGGTGTTCGTTTTGTGGAATTGCATAAATTAGCAGGAGAATTGTGGGATTGGTGTGAAGAACGTCAATTATGGGTTCATGCTTCATATATCCCTTCGGAGGAAAATATTGAAGCTGAATTTTTCTTCCAGGATTGATAATTCCGATGCTGAGTGGGAATTGGCTGAGGATGCATTTGCTAAGATTGCTAATATATTTAAGGGCCTAGAAATTGATTTGTTTGCATCAAGGATTAATAAGAAGTGTCCTATTTATTGCTCCTGGAAAAGGGATCCAGATGCTTGGGCTTTTGATGCGTTCACACTCTCTTGGACTGAGTGGTATTTCTATGCTTTCCCTCCATTTTCAATGGTTGCGAGAACTATCAGAAAAATTCGAGAAGATAAAGCTGAAGGTATTTTGGTAATACTATATTGGCCAACTCAGAATTGGTTTCCAGCTTTCCAAAAATTGGCGTTAGGTAATTGGATATGGCTGGAAGCAAGTCCTGATTTACTTGTATCTCCTTGCAGGTTAAAACAGCATCCGAAACTCGCCGACTAGCGTCGAAACTTACCCTGGTTGCCGCGAAGTTATCAGCCAAGCACTGATTAATAAAGGAACACCGGAATCGGCGGTTGGCATTCTTTTGGCGTTTTTGGAGGAATCGACCCTTAAGCAATATAATGGTACACTTAAATTATGGTGGCACTGGAATAAAAAAATTGACAGTGATACCCATTCGTAGTATCGGCTGGCAAGGTATTAAAATTTTTAACCGAAAGATTCGGTGATGGCATAGGTCACAGTACCCTCAATTCCGCAAGATCTGCTTTATCATTAATTTCTGATGACAATATTGCGAATAATCAACTGATTAGTAGATTTATCAAAGGATCCTCCAAGATTAGACCTAGTTTGCCAAAATATAAAGATACTTGGGATGTAGACCCAGTTCTAAATAATTTATCTTCTTGGTTTCCGCTGGATGATCTATCTCATAAGAAACTTACTGAAAAATTAGTGGTATTATTAGCTTTAGGGACTACTCATCGTGGGCAAACTTTATCGCTAATAAAAGTTTCTAATATTGTTAAGTTAGAATCTCAAATAGAAATTAGAATTTCTGATCGGATCAAAACCTCAAAACCAGGAAAGCCGCAGCCAGTTTTAATACTTCCTTTTTTCCATACAAAACCAGAACTTTGCATTGCTGGAACGCTGTTAAAATATTTAGATGTTACAAGCAATAAGCGTAATAATATTGATAATTTGTTTATTTCTTATCAAAAACCGTTTAAAGAAGTTAAAAGTGAAACGATAAGTCATTGGATTCGAGCAGCACTAGTGAATTTAGGTGTTGATAAAAAATTTACAGCTCATTCCACTAGGCATGCGTCGACTTCGAGAGCTTATGAGAAAGGAGTGACTATCGAAGAAATCAAAAAGGTTGCTGGTTGGTCTCAGCATTCTCAAGTTTTCGCAAAATTTTATAATCAACCCATACAATTAAAAGAAAATAACTTTGCGTCGACTGTTTTATCTCTATAATTAAGTTATACAAATTTGTGTATTTCAATTTAATGTTAAATAAATTAATAATTTGTTTGAATATTTGGGTGATATATGTAAAAATGATAATTATAATAATAAAAATTTTCTATTTTAACATCCAGAGAAATATTTACTATCGGTATCAGCGGCTCTGAACAGCTACCTGTGTAATCTCGAAGTGCGAGACATGAAGAATAATTAGAAGATCAAACGAGCCCGCCGAAGGCGGGCGAAGTTCGATCTTAATTATTCGAATGTCTCGCACGAAAGATTCCCACCCCTTTTTTAAGAATAATCTTTGTCCTACCCTAATAAATGTAAAATAAAAAATTAGCTGTAAACGAATAAGATATTAATAGAAGACAGCGTACATATGGCTAAGTTCAGGCAGCTTATATAAAAAAAAAAAAAAAAGTGAAGCTCTAAATGTGTGGTATTTGGTATGAAAGTAGTGGAACTATCTGTGTAATCTCTCGTGCGAGACATTCGAATAATTAAGATCGAACTTCGCCCGCCTTCGGCGGGCTCGTTTGATCCTCTAATTACAGATATAGTGGTGTTTGGCCACTTCTGCCATCAGCCAAAGCAGGTTGGAAAGTGCTGAATTCTATTTTCAGAATTGTAAATTTCGTATTTTTCATAACATTTTTAATGGCTGTGGCTGCTGATGTGGCGGAAAATTACGACAGCTTGGAAATAGTTGGGAACGATGGATGCTTTTTTATCGGAACTACTATGGCTGTTATGAAAGCATGTAAATTTTGGAATTCATACAACAAGATAATTAAGCTGATCCACGAAGTTTATGACCCGATAGACACACTCATACGAAGCTCTGGTAAATTTAAAAAGCAAAAAACTAATTAAAGATCTTAACTAATACATCTTATCTACGCAATGACCAGATCGCGGGATACTTATTAATATAAAAAGAAGCCATTTTGAAGAATCTGTAGCTCACTATGGGTTTTGTGTTCTATGTACATTATTTGCTTTTTGCATTTTGTTTTTGATTCCCCGTGAAAAAGGATCGTTACCATTTCGAACAGTTTATCCATTCGATGTTACCAAATCACCATACTATGAGCTGATAATGGTTTATCAATATTATTGCTTGGTCTACCTTTTGGCCGTCGTTCTTGCCATGGATATAACTACCATAGGATTTATAAGATGGTCAGCTCTTCAACTGATTGCTTTGACATCAAATTTTAAAAACTGTAACGTTAAATTATATAAAAGTACAGTGATAATAAAAGAGCCAGCTGATACGATGAAAATTTTTGATCAAATTGACAAGCTCGAAATAACCTACAATGATTGGGAAGTGAAACAATATTTGTTTTTTGATTTTGGTGAAAGAGCCTTTGAGGATTCGTTTTCAAGGCGGTTCAAAATTTGCATTAAAAACCACCAAAGACTTGTCAAAACGATCTTTGATCTCAATGGGACTTTGAGTTTTTTGATGCTGGTACAGTTTGGAACCAGTACTTGTATCATTTGTCTTAATGGCTACCAATTGATTTTAGTAAGAGTTTGTTAACTTACTAGTCGATCAATAAACTTTATAATTCGTTTTATTTTTAATTTATTGATCTAGAAAGGAGGAAATCAAGCAGATCTCGCTAAATTTTTATCATACTTAGTATTAAGCTTTACCGAATTGTTTTTTTGGTGTTGGTACGGAAATGAATTCACCTCTGTCGTAAGTTGCTTTCAATACTTTGGAGATAATAATTATCATCAGTAAGTTTATCGAGCACTCACTTTTGTGTCACGTAGCTCATATATAACCCTAACCAGCTGATAATTATTATCAAAAAATTCGCAACAATTATTCGTTAAATTAATCTAGTACTGTTTTATAAGTTTGTTGTCTTAATAATAAGGCGGACACTCTTACCTACAATCAATGGATGTCTGGTTGGGAAGAATTTACTCGAGAGCACGACCTCGGGGACAGAAATGAGCTAACTAACCTAGTGACTCTTTCAATGATTCCCGCTATGAAACAGCTAGAATTCAAAGCAGTTGGTCTGTTTAACCTATCAATGCCTACATTTTTATCGGTAAGCATCATTCAATCCTTATCATTAATTTCCTAACTAACTAATTAATTAAAAAAATTTAAACAGTCCACAGATTTTGGTCTCGAATCGCACATAAACTGTCTAAATTTTTTTTCCGTAGGTTGTGAAGAACTCATACTCAATCCTACTTCTTCTAAACCAATTTACAGAATAATAAAAATCAACAGCTATGATTTTAATGACTCCAACTCATAAAGTTATGGACTATTTGTTTAATATTTTAAATCTTTGAATTCAAAATCAAAGTTTTAAATAGTTCAAATACTTATTTACGATTTAATTATTTTAATCATTGTAATCATACGATAATCATCACTCATCTCAAAGCACATCAATAATTGTTATGTTAATCCATAAATAAACTATTTTTTTTATTCTAACACAAGTACTCGCAATATCACGGAGGTAATATACTGTCCCAAATTAAGTTCTGAAAATATGATATATTTCTCATAGCAATTTCATTAATCATTTTATTTATTACTAAAATTATAATTAGATTTTACTTACTATGCCAGATGCTGAGTATAATTTCAAAGATCTGACAATTTTCCGAAGGAAATTTGTTTCTTAGGTCCCCCTTGTCAATGGCACAATATTATGGAATGCAGAAATGGAAGGCTAGGTCGTAAATTGTTGCGACACTTTCGAGATCCTTAACCTGTCAAACAGTCTGATCTTGACCTGGAAACCCTCAAAATTTTTGAAGTAGGTGGTGTGATCAATCATTCATAATTATAAATACCTGTACATAATTAATCAACTTAATGACGAGTATCTTCCAGATGAACAGAAATTCAGATCAAATGCATTCAATCCATCACCGTGTTAAGGATCGCATAGAATGAAGATGCCTTCTGCAGCACCTGGATGACAATCAACAATCAGTTTATAGCTCAATAAAGTTTAAGTCATCTCATTTGTTAATGAACGAGTCTATTTAATAAAAAAAATAACAAAAATTACCGACAAAAATGTTTTGACCGAGAAAACAGAAAAATAACCAGCTCTTATCTCAAGTGGTTTTACGGATTGTATCAGTGCGATTATCAAGAGATCACCAACTTGTCGGTTGAGGTAATTATGCCACGGTACATTGTACTGACTATCTCGAAGCGCTTCCCCTTGTAGAGTCAGTAAAGTCCCAAAAATACAGTAATAAAATAATTCGGTAATCACGGAAAAAAATAATATCACACATTTTATGATACTTTTGTTGTGTTTTATTGCCTGAAAAAATAAATTTGTTTTTAATTTATTTACATATGGGAGATTCTCTTTAAGGATGTTTTTTGTTGTCCTAGGCATTTTTTTATTAGAAAAATTGTTATTTAGTTTTGTAGCCCTTGTTAATTTTTTTTCTAATAAAATCAAAAATAATTTGGTCGGACAATTTTGTACAGATTTAAGACGTCTTTACAGAAAATCACCCATATACCTTTACTAATGCCAAAAGGGTGTGAAAAACTGAAAAAAAAATTAGCTTGAATCAAGAGAAAAATTATTGAATCGAGTAAAATTTTTTTACTTAAATCAAGACGATAAGTTCTTCAAAATTATTTTCGTGATTCAAATTAATTTTTTTTCTGTGCCCATGAATTTATAAAAAAAAATCACGTTAAGTACCCAACTGGCTTGATAGAGATAAAAACACATGACTGCGTTGCTGGTCAACATTTGAAAGCGCAATGTCAGGCTGAATGTATCATTGAATTTATCGATGCAGTTGATAATTCCTTGATGGTGTTTGAGACATGTTTTTAGTCTCAAAATAAATGAATCTTCGATAACATTTATCTCTTCGCTTTCAAACGGTGCAAATACTTTTATTTTGTACTGCCCTTCGGTTACTTTAAAGTATTCGTAGTTTTCAATTTGTAAGTAAGTGTCCTCAGTTACGAAAAAATTATCTCGCTCAGCAGTGGCAGGTTCACAGTTTCTGTAATTGCTCTGTAAAATTTCTATTTGAACGTTGATCCATCTTATCGAGCCTAGTACCAGGAGATCGAATAGCGCGAACCATATGCAGCCTATTAATATTGCCCAAAACTGGATAAAGAACGCCAAACCATCTGATGTTTCCAATGATTTAAAGAATACCAAAGAAAATACGACACTTAATACACTTGCGAAGAGTGCTAATTCAAAATTCTGGTAGAATACTGCTGTACGTATTGTTGTCAATATTCCAAGATCTGTAATGTATTTTTATTTTAATAATTTGTTAGGGTTAGAAAGCTATAAGGTCTGAGGCAATTCTTTAGTTGCGAGAAATTTATGCAAGCCAACGCTACCTATCGAAATTTTTTAGTACTAAAAAATATATAGCATATTTACACTGAAAAAAAATTAACTTGAATCAAGAAAAATTCTTAGTTAAAAAATTTATTTTCTCAGATCAAAAATACAAAGTTATTCAAAATTATTTTCTGGATTTAAAATAATTTTTTTTTCCGTTGAAACGGGATGTTTTGTTTCCCTTGGTCGCCCCTTTTTCTCTTAAGGGCGCCACTGGATTTTTGTTCTCAGTTTCCAGAAACTGGACCAGAACATGGAGTGCTAGGTCAGGGTCGTGAGAGATTTGCTGAAAGGAGCTAGGACTAAAACACAGAAATTCATTTAACAAAATTATTTATTTATCCAATCCCTCTTACAATTGAAATATGGCCAGTATTACAATATATAAAATTTCATGGATACAAATCCACACTCACACTCACACTCATTCGGTATATTTCTCGCTGTCCAGCTAGACCCTCACGTGGTTGCAGTCCCCGATGCCTACTGGACTCTCACGGTACTCTATTTACTTCGCGCCGTCCCCTGGACCTCTAACGCTACTCTATCTTAGTTCGCGCGGTCTCACGGACTCTCACGCCACTGAGCTGGACCTCTGACGTGACTGCACACGTTGTCCACACAGTGCACGCTGTCCCCCAAACTTCACGCTACTCTAAGAGAACTACCCGAGGCTGGATAGTCTCTTTACTCTCACACAAACACACTCTATTCTAAATTCCAATAATAACAATAATAATAATAACGCTTGAATTACAATTTACAAATAACTTCCAAAATATTATTTTCCTAATTACAGTCGAACCTTCGTAAGTGAGAGTTGATGGGACCAACATTTGATTCTCACTTATGAAGGTTTTCCATTAAACCAGGTTTCTCACTTATGGAGGTATTGTTATGGCGTTTGTCACTTAGAGAAGTTTAAGAAAATAGAATAGTATAGGAAACATTTAAATACAGTATGAATTAGGATTATTATTAAATCTTGTTACAAATATACTAAAAGCAAATACATTAAAGCGAAGTACTATTAACATAAAGTATTATTATGATTAATGTCAAAAAAATCGGAAATTTTCTTTTGAATTTCCTGTTTATCACTCTGAACATATTTTTCCAATTCGTATATCTTGTCAAAAATAGATTGATCCATTTTATTTGTGGAGAATTGAAAATATTGATGAAGTGTTTCTAAGGCGTTCAAGGCTTCTTGTCTTTTTGGAATAATAGGCGTTTCAGTCAATGTGATTTCAGAAACTTCACTATCTTCATCGTCACTTACATTTGATGTCAACATACTCAAACAATTATGAACTATATCATCATCAGTATGTTCACCAGTAATTATAACATCGTCGTCAACTTTCACAAAGTCTTCAAAAGTGGGCTGTAATGTACTATTTTCACTTGGCATAAGTTTAGTCCATTCCTCAGTAGTAGGATTATCACATAATTCTGAAGTAGAATCTTCGTTTTTATCTAAACCATTCCAAAAACCAGCTTTTTTAAAACAATTCTGAATAGTTATATCACTAACAGTATACCACGATTTTCTAGCGAATTTCATTGCTAACAAAACATTTATGCCAGAGTCAATACTTTGTTCTATACACTTAAGAATATACTTTACAACTTCTCGGCGATAAAGTCGTTTAAATACGTGTATAATCCCTTGATCCAAAGGTTGAAGCTTACTCGTCGTATTAGTGGGCAGAAATATAACCTTAACATTTGAAAGCGTTAGTACGTCACCATGGGCAGAGCAATTATCGATAAATAGAATTATCTTCCTCTTTTGTTAATGCATATCTTTATCAAGTTTTATCAGTCAACTTTTAAATATTATTTTTGTCATCCAAGCCTTAGTATTACTTTCATAGTCCACTGGTAAAGTTTTAACACCTTTAAAACATCTTGGTTTCTTCGACTTTCCGATGATCAGAAGTGGTAGTGTATCTGTGCCCGTCATATTCGTGCATTGGAGAATAGTTAGGCGTTCTTTATTTTTTTTTCCTCCATGACACTGCTCACCTTTGAATATAAAAGTTCTATCTGGTAGACATTTATAAAATAGAGTAGTTTCATCAGTATTATAAATGTCTTCTGGGTCATAGCCATGCAGTAGATGTGGTAAATCAGTTTCCCACTGATTACACACGCGTTGATCGACTGATTTACTCTCTCCGGCTAATTTTTTAAAAGCTATGTCATGACGTTTTTTGAATCCATCTAACCAGCCATTACTCGCCAAAAAATTGTTAATACCTAGCTTGGAAGCGAATTGCTTTGATTTCTCTTTCAGTAATGGTCCATCTATCGGAATATTTTTATCCATTGTCTGCTTAATCCACTCCAGAAGACACTTCTCTACATCAGGAAACTCAGACAGGCGACTTCTCTTCATGTTTCCATGCCCTTCAGCGCATTGAGACTTAATGTTTTCTTTGAATTTTATTATTTTATAATATGTTGATTCCGGAACACCAAACTCAGCAAGAATTTCAGCTCGGGTTTTGCCACTCTCAAATGAATTAATTATTTGAAGCTTTTCGCTTAGAGAAAATGCTTTGAGTTTACGTTTGGGCATTTTGATTATACTCTGGGTGAATGACACTGAGCAACTGTTGTGCGACTAGCGAATATACAAGCAATTTGCTATACAAATGATTAGTAAACTGTACAGAAATGTGTTAATGAGATTTGGAAAATGTAGAGAATAAGTGAAAGAAAAAAAAAACATGTACTCAAGTTTCACTTATAGAAGTATAGCGTGTATAGTAGTCTCAAGTATAGAGGTTTTGACGTCAAAAATAGCTCTCACTTACAGAGGTTTTCATTTCTCACGTATGGAGGTTT